TTTGTTCCCCCCCCCCCCCTCTCTCTCTCGCTATCCTCACCGCGTCCGTTCTCGCGAATCTCCCGCTATTTTATCTAGACAATATCCTGTTGTCGTCATCAGATGAAATCTTGCGACACCCAAAATCATTTTCACAGTACAGATTATGTAAAACGAGGTCGTAGAAGAAGACGATAGTCGATTTTATGAAAGATCATGGAAAATGAGAATAGATATGGATAACCCGATTGGATGAAAAATCTAACGGCTAAGGACGTAATAAATTTCAATAATTTTCACATCGTCGAGTGACCTTTTTTCTGAATCTTTCTATATGGCTTTATCACTTGCAGTAGCACTTCTACCGGTAACCATAGAGTATGAGATTACAAGATATAAGTGTAACGATATTATATTGTGTCATCCACTCTGGGAAGGGCCAGTGGTAGCGTATCCCCTTGGTAATATCAATGGATGTTTTTCTATCAAGCGAATGTGAAATTCCAGGGGTGTTGCGCCCCACGAAAAATGTTGATTTTACACAAGATCTTCAGAGGGATATCGTGAATCTGGAAAAGTGGCTTCTCCATCAATGCAATGGTGGTATATCGATAACAGTCATAAGGTATATGTAACCTTGATGGAATGATCTTTGGGGGAGGTAGAATTCCCATTGGAATCGTAATCATTTGAGTTAGCAACCACGGGAACCCTGAGGAAATACAGTAGCACCGAAGGCCATACCCCACAACTCCAGGGAATAATACGTAGCAAATCGAAAGTATATGACTTTTTCTGATCTCGCGATAGCACGTAGCAAGAGAAGGTCAACACTCACCAAGAGGCTTGATTTAAAGGACTACATCGTCCACGTCTTTAGATTGCCCATCTGGTATTTGATCTTGCACCATCTCCCTCGATGGATCCTTCGAGATATTTGTTGACAGCTCCAAGGTTATCATCTCACAGCCGGATTGATTGGCTTTAGGTATTGTCTGACAAGGTAGGAGACTCTCCTGCACGGTGTCATTACCATTGCAAATTCTGTCGCTTCTGCAAATTTCCGTCGTCCTCGATGTACCATCGGTGTAACCTCTTCTGAAGCAGGGTAGCACCTTCAGGAAAGAAAGTATACATTCAATATGATTTAATGAATTTCTAAAAAAATAATGATTAATTCGACGGAACGTCAAAAATTGGAGGTGGATGAAGGTATAATATAAAAAGAAAATGATGAACCTGCTTAAATTCCTTGCGAAAATTATCATTGAGCCAGGCGTAGAGAAATGGATTGTAGCACGTGCTGCTCATGGCAAGGCAGTGAGTCATGAAGAAACATAATCTGTAGTATGGCAGATCATTGATCTGTGAGTAAAAGTCATTGACAACGTTGATAATATTCAGAGGAAGCCACGAGATACCAAATATGGTAACCATGGCGATGAGCATCCTGTTAGTACGTCGTTTCCTCTCGCGATCAGCTTCCTCTCTTCTGCTGGTCTTACTTCCAGGTTTGCTCTTCGCTCGGTTATTCAGTCTAACGGACACGCAAATATAGCAGAAGGCAATGACGAAGAACGGGACGACAAACTGCAAGAAGGAAGTCAAGGAGCTGAAGATCTGCCTCAAGGATTCACTTGGCCAATGTTCCTCGCAGAAGATCCTCTTCCTTTCCGTCTCCCGCTGAAGGTGCTCCTCGACTTGCATATAAAGTCCGTAAGGTAGCGTGACCAAGAGTGCGATCAACCAGATCCCGACGATGATGCCCAGACAAACTTCGATCTTCATCCTCTGTTGGAATGGATAAATAATAACGAAGAATCTATCCACAGCGATGCTCGTCAGGGTCAGGGTGCTTATATAAACGCTGACAGCTTGAGCGTAGGGCACCAGATGACAGAGCGTCTTTCCGAAGACCCAGCGGCCCAAGAAGGTGTACAGGGGTGTGAAGGGTACAGCGAGGATGCAGAGGAGGACGTCGCTGAGTGCTAGATTGGTGATGAAGAGGTTTGTCACGGTCTGCATTTGTCTGTTTCGTACTACCACGAAGCATACAAGGACATTGCCAAAGACACCAAGGACAAATATATTTCCATAGAAGATGCAGAAGATTATCTGTACCACGGGATTGGACATGATATCCTGATCGTGATAGGAAAAGCCGTCGCTGCCGTTTCCTCGATAATGCGTAAGGTTCTCCATGTCCTTCGGGTGCTCCAAACTTTATTTAGGTCAGATCCGTTGATTACGTTGATAAAGTCGTCAGATAGCTGAAGACGCTACTAATAACGATGGAAGTTGTATCATCCGTTCAGTGCGTCATCCTGGTTGTGCGATTCCTTAATGGATTATTTTCCTAACACAATGAAGTATGATGTAAAGCGTTGGCGTCAACGATATAAAACAGCGGATGTGTCCACGACAGCTGGTGCAAATATTTGGGAGCATAAGCGGTCATTAATCCTCGAAAAAACTCCATAAAGCCATTTCTCTATTGTTCCGGATTCATGGTAAAACAGGGAGAATTAAAAGTTATTCCATGAGTTTCACTGTTTCACGAGTTTCACTGAAGATACACGAGGATTCGCTAAACTTCGTTTTGGGCATTTCGTCGAATACTTGAATATGATAGAGTTCACGTGTGAATACTATATATTAGCCAATAAAAAAGAAAGGCAGAAGCTTAACTGAATCTCAGTGCGATGGCTCCTCAGTTTCTTGTGGAATGGATCTCGGCCACCTGTTGACGCTGTTTCTGGGCAGGATTAACTTCTGCTTCCACTTTCCTTTTCTTTCTATTGACGATTCATCTTTTTTTCATTCAGCACTGAACACTTGGTACTTCAATAGAAATGATCTTGGCACCCTGGAACACTTTAGCATGACAGCCAAAATGATCGACGCATGACTAACTTACTGCCTTTAACGAGGTAATAAATTTCTTAGTGAACAAGGCAGACTCATCTCAACTTCCGGTTTCTCGCTTGGATCCCATTATATCTCTTGTGCCATTCTCCCTCTCTCTCTCTCTCTCTCACTCTTGAGAATAGTTTATTGTAAGCCTGGGCGGGAGAAACGACCGTGGCACAGGTGTTTCGTTCATTCAACCAAGGAGTAGATTACGGCCTTATCCGATAAATTTCGGTTCCGCGAACACGTTACGGATTTGTTAATGGTATTTATGGAAATATAGTTTTAAAAATGCTACTCTGAAATACTGGATACACGTGGATGAAATTCTGGTACGTGGGTTTCCGTTTTCTTTTTGTATCGCAGTCACGTGTTGTTCTCAGACTTAGTATTATCTTCAGTGAAATACATTGTTGTTTATCTTGAATTTCCAAATAATCAGTGTCTTCTATATGTCACTCTTGACTGATGTCGCTGACATGGAAATGAAGATATCAGCAATTTTTCCCGTTTAGAATATCAATTCAACCTCGTGTATATACTGATGAATTATTCGGTGCTTCATTGATTTATAACTAAGATGAAGATGATTTGCCTTGGGTAAAATGAAAATGGATAAAATAAGATATCCAAAGTCGTGACAGCCGGTCCTGTCAAGTACGTTAGCTAAGATCGGTCAAGCCGGGTGCGTCGCGTTGATTTCAGTCGACGACTGAATTCGGAAAATCGCGAGGACGTGCCGGCGTCGGGTTTTTCGCGCAAGCGTCAGAACGCGTGCCAATCACAGTTTCCAATGATAGGAAGGAGCCGACCTCCCACCACCGTAGTGCCAACGTTTGCCATAAAATAATTTAATAAGCTCAAATCAGTTGCGATTGGAATCGCCCCAGGACAGAGATTCATTTGCAAAGGGAACTCTTCGGCTTTTTTTCTACAATTCTCAATAAAAAACATAAAAGCGAACAAGAGAGAACTTACCATTTCACTTGTGGCAATGAGAAGTTCGTCTGTTTCATTCTGGAAGGCAATCAGCACAAAAAGAAGAGTTTTGTCGCTGGGATTGTCAAATGAATAACCTACGTGAATCGACTCTCTTATGATTTCGTCCAGCAATTAATTCTAGGCAATGTTGTCGCACAATTTCCTATCATTAATCTAGAATTGGTTACGTGAGACAAATACCGTGTATTACGTAGTGACGTAAATTCCAATGTAGCTTTAAACTTCAGAGCCATTTTTAAATCAGTAGAAGTGCCTGGCGCCATCGTACGTTAAATCTTTTAAGCTCGTACGAAACTGCAATATCACGAATATATTGAGTGACATGAAATTTGACTTACCTATAAATATTTGAATTTAAAATCAAATATTGCGCAATGATACTGATAGTTACTAATTGTATAGTAGACTGATGAAGAGAAAGACGGAATTGTCCTGGGATTTATAATTGGATAGGAAAGAGACGTTGGCGAATATTATATGCTTTCGCTAGTTTCCATTTCCACCTTCTCCGTGTATATATCGCCTCTCAAAAAGTTGCCATTATAAAATACAGTAGTTTATTAATAATTAAATCATTTATCATCGTTATTCACCGTACTCGTCCTTAACCGTCATCTTTTATCCACATCCTCATGGTCGCAATAGTTATAACCTAGTACAATACTCTTTTCTCTCTCTCTCTCTTTCCCTCTTAGCTCACACTATGTACTAATAATCATTCAACAACATACCAGCCACCCATCGACCATTCGTAAATTCGCATCTCTTAATTTAATGTACATATTTGTAATTTGTATATTATTTATAGTGATCTCGTAGACTCGGCGCCTACACAAAGTACATATAGTATCATCACGCGCGCACACTCTCTGCTAATCTCTCTTTCTCGCTATCTCACAATATATAATATATGCAGAAACTATGTCACAAGACTATTTATTTCTTTTTACAGTCATATGGTCGCGCAGTGAGTGTCACCAGGAACGAGGAGCTCATATAATAGATAAACAAGATCTGACAAAGAAATAAAAAGTCATTGTTTTCTGGATCAACGATCGGCATCGGCATCAACCAATCGAACATTCTATATACATTTTGCATGGATCCTTGAAAAAACTTCTTTGACAAAATCTCCTCCCACCATTGTCCTCCTCCACAGTATCCTTCTCTAAAATAAAACAAAAATCCAGATCCGACTTCTGGTGCGTTAAAACTCTGGAATCAGACGTCTTGTGCGACACTCACGGCGTTCTCATCAAGTGTGTAGCGCGGCTCTAGTCTAAGTGCAACGTTATCCGATAAGGATCGAGAAAAAAATAAAAATAAAAACAAAACGACACGCAAAATAATAAGTCGGGCTACTTAGCTCCTAGGACTATCACCAGGTTTCTATTAAATCTGCAGCTCGCAAGAAAGATCGTCACTCGTAATAAAATAATAAATAAAAATTCGTGTAGCTTTGTCTATGAGTTAATATAATAAAAAATCGTAATTTTTTCATCGCGTTTAATGGACATATATAGGTACACATGTCTTTACTGTACTTCCTACACTTTCTCTCGCTCTCCCCTGTTCATTGTCTGAGAAAAATTAATGTGTAGAAGGGTGCCGTATTACTAGTGTGAGTGTAATTTTTTTAACGATAGCGCTTACAAGACAGTATGAACTCGCCTAGTGGAGGAGAACAAGAGAAAGGACGAGAGAAAGTGCCTGATCTCAAGATGTCCAACGAGTGTGAAGATAGTCCGTGAGATGAAATGATTGCATGGCATCGATTTCAAGGCGAAAGAGTTCTTTTTTTTAACAACATATACAATAGGGCAGTCCTAATTGCCACATGCTCGAAGAACGGACGGCCCTTGGACTATTTTCGCTCAACGGAGCAACGACTGCGCTCTAGAAACGCACAATCGCATCACAGCCAATATTTCCTTCGAAATTTCAATTGTCTAGGTCCATTTCATGAATTCGTAGTGAAACCCGTTGAAATTCGCTGTGCTCCCAGTATCACTTCTCCCACATAGTTAATTTCAAGATTGCACGTTTTCCATATGAAAGATCAAAGGTTGATTAATTTCGTTCGCAAAACTCGTAGTCAACACATCATATTTTTTTAAATACATTTTTATATGTTTCTCATTTCGCAACTTCACTCACTTCCTACACATCGTCGCGCTCGGTGCAACATGATTGATGATTATTATTGGCCGAGTTATTGTAAAAAGTGATGATCGACCGCAATCGCGTTAAAATGTTGTATTAATATTTTTGTTTTAAGTAGAGAAGCGGTCGCAGATTTCTTGCACTTGCCTTCTCACTCTCGAGTTAGGTACAGGTATCGCTGTGTTACTAGATAGACAGGTTGCGGCGAATTAGTAGGTGGTAAGGATGTCGTGATAATCCTGGAAATTTATGTCTCGAGTAGATAAAAGAATTCATTATAGATTACGAGAATTGAAATATAATTAAGCACTGGTAGTAAAGGGTGAAAAAGTCAGACATAGAGTCACCAAGATGTTTTATCCTTACGACTTGTGTTCTATTCGCCACAACCTGTATGCGAGGACAACCGACCGAAGTAAAATACGCGAGTATCGTCACTATGAAATTGCTGCTGAAATTATGCGTCGGATATCTATAAAGTACAGGAAAGCAACTTTATATTCATTTGTACTATACAGTTGATGGATATACATTAACAGTTAAAAATGTCTGCTATGTACATATGGTAAACTTGACTTTTTTTCCTTTCTATCGCAATGCTTCGTATATCGGTGTAAGACTTAAATGTCATTTTTTCTTGTTAAAGAATAAAAATTTGTAAGATATCTTTGAAACGGATACTTCAGTAGTTTATAAGGATAGCACCGTTACGAAGAGGATGGATATACTCGAACATGAAAGAATTGCTCGTGCGTTTCCGAATGCGGGATTTCCTACGCGTAGTGCTAACGTTGGATTGTTATGGTATGAGAAACCAGCTCGTCCTGCGTTTACGTGAATTTACTTCGGACGATTGGCTCGATTATCTAAATTTTAATCGCATTTTTAAACTAAAAAGCCAACTATGCGTTACGACTAAATGGACAGTGTTTCTTTGATCAGTTTCTTCATGGTATTACCCATGGTGGATCCGGATGGACCAGAGGTCGTAAATGATAGTTTAAATAGATACGGCTGAATATCAGGATACGAGGTGTCAAATATGAGATCCAGCTCAGCCTGATTTGGCATTTTTGGCAAATAATCATGCCGATTCATAACTTCTGTTATATAGAGAATTTTGTCCGTCAAAAGATCGCCGACCTTTTCCCGACATATTTGTCGTTCGTGCTCTGTAGCGAGTTTAATCAATTCAAGTCGCACAGTCCACACTTCCCACGGTATACACTCTGGCTGAAATGGCCAGCGATTCTTTTTCTTTTGAAAAAATTCTAGTGAGATTTGACCTGATCCAGGACTATCGGTGGAACGTAGTGCTTCAGAGAAGCCTGATATCTCACGTTTTAATGTCTGATCTAGATGGATCGATGAACAGCAGACATATGTGAAATCAATAAAATCACAATCAACATCTTGATATCCTACGGTTCCTACGGAGTAACTGCCCTCTTGCTTATATTTAAATTTTCCAAGGCTTCGGTGAAAGAGGACACTGTGAAATATGCTTGCCACTGCTTCATCTACCTGGCGTCCTTCCATACTCAATTCGAACAGCTGTGTTCTGGCATTCATGATTGCTGCTGTAAGAGAAATTTTCTTTTATGTATATAGAACTTCTATGTGGAGGATGATAATTGAACTATTTTTGCAAAGGCTGACAGAGCAATTTTACATGAAAGTAAAATATTGAACAAACTATCTACTACGACAGAATTACTTTTCAATATTGATGCATGCATAAGATGCTATCCTTACTTTATTATCACTCAAGAAGCAAACAAGAACAAAATTCACACTGTCAGCTACAATTAAACATAACAGTATTCCCGGGAAATGACTGTGTTAACACTATTTTTTCACTTTACATAATACTCATTGAAAAAATTCTGAGTAGCAGAATAAAGAAATAAAAATAAAACTTAAGTTTTTCAATAGATAAGCAGAATAGTGAAAATAGAGAACGAGATACGCCAAAATAGTATAAAACGTATGAAAGTGGGGAGACGAATAAGATCAAAAGAATCAGTCTAACAAGAGAGAGAGAAACAAAAAAGCAAAAGAGAGATAGAAAAGGCGCGCGTTCACATTTCCGAATGGCGGATTGCGCCGTGTATCACCTTTGCGTTGTCTCTCCGCTTCCTTCTTCCCTCCTATTTCGCACTGTTGGAAAAGTCTTCGAGGTTAATTCGTGAAGGCCGTCATGATAGAGCCTTCCTTGTGTCCACAAAAGATTCGATTCATTGAATCCTAAAAGAGTTCTCGCCGTAGAGCACCAAAAGTAAATACTCGTGAAAATGATGACTGATGGGTTAAGCTTGGCTTTCGTGGCTGCTGACTATCCCGCTGAGGTGGCTGGTTGGCTGGCTACCTGGCTGACTGACTGACTGACTTGGCCAACTAGTAACTGGTGGCCACTGGGCTACTCTTACTTAGTAATAACTTTGCCTACGCCGTTGATTCACACCCTGGAGACTCTCCTCGGTATCCTTACTTGACTCGCCATCCCCGCGCACGCACCCGACACGGGAAAACTCTTTTCGAAAAGTCATGCGAGAATTTACGCGCGCCAACCTACTGCTACCCGCACACGCATTTGTCGGTAAACAACAGCTGTGCGCGCTGCATACGCCATTTTGGCCCGTTTTCCTCTCTACGGAGCGCGACCCTCTCATATATACTTCCTCCCTATATCCTTTTCTATCACATAGTATAGTTCACCAACTCTATCCTCTACCTTCAATGAATCCAGCAGCCTGAACATCGCACAAAACAAGAAAAATATGCGCAGATAAACCTAAGGAACCCGCACTGATCACGTGATCCGTGTGTATATACACACGAAATCACTTCCTGATAAACTCTTATACACTCGTCCTAATCAGGCTTTCCTATTTGTTTACATTTTATTTCCTCAGTTACTTCGACTGTACCTTTAACAACTCTAGCTCTAAATTTGTAGGTTTTTTTAACGTGGATACGCGTAGATGCACGCGCATTTTTTTCAAACGTTTGCAAAATACCAGGAACTTTCTACGCAATCGATTCCGCGATCTACGCTTCAATATTTGAGAGAACTCAACGCATAATGCTTTTGTTCTTCATTATCTTTTATTTCTTTGTTTAAAAAGAACATTCTCGTCTGATCCTTTAATATTTCTCCTTTTCCACCATTTCAATTATAATAACTCTAAAGATACTGTGCACTCGTATCTACTCCGACAGGCGCGATACGTTAGCGAGATTCGAAAGGAATGAGAAACCGTGAGCCTGTTGCGACGTGTTTGAACCAAGCTAATGCCCACTCTGATGTCACCAATAAAAATAACAGATGCAGATCCCATTGTCAGTGCAAGTGTCTTTTCCTTGGTTTGCTGACACGTCAAAATTCCTCTTTGCAACTTTCTCTCACTGCTCCAGCTTCTTCTGATTAATTGCCTGATTCTTTGACACCCTTTTCTTTCTGGTGTATAGACGAAATTATACAGTGAAAAATGTTTCTCGCTACGAAACCCCAGATAAATATTATCGACAAACAAAGGCTGCATGTATTTAGAAGACCAGGATTCATCGCCTGGTTGCTACTCGCTAGTAAGTCTTCTCGTTCCTCTTCTTTCAATATCTCTTTCTAATTCTTATATTTTTACATCTCGTTATTTCCATTCGCCCTCATTCGCACTGTGCTCATTACATGATTCAATATATAACTAGACATAATGTTAAATAAAATTCGATCGCAGTAAATAGATACTTCAATAAAAATATCTATCCTATCTTGTACCCTCTTCTATTTCTAAATCTAGTGTTATACTAGGCCTCTATCGATTATTTGCTCCTATTAACTTATCTATTGTAGACTCTCACTGACCCACTCGAGTCACCTAGTTTTAATGCAAGTGTCTAATGCAAGTAGAACATGGCGATAACATTGACCTCTCGTTGTAGCCAAAACAATATATAATTAGTTGACTCACTTTAAAATCAGACTGTGATGTCTTATGGTTGTTATTTCAGCCTCTGCATCTATATTTTACATGGTAACAAGGCGTCTGACAGATAATATACTCGCATCCTTGATCTTGCTCTTGGCTGAGATCACATTCAGTTTGGACGCTCTAGGCGAATGGCAGGATCTTGTATTAGACAAGGAGGAGAACAAGGCCACAGTGACATTGTGTTCCTGGTGCGATAAACTCTGTTCTAAGGTACCAGAGAAATCGCTCACTGTAATGAGAATGAGCGATATACGACACGTTGGGATATCTACAGAACTTGGTATCTTCTTACTCGGTTTCAATGGCAAGATTCTCTCGTTTAGCACACGAGGACTTAGTCACGAAGAAGCTCGAGAGTTCAAAAAGAAGATTAATTATTACTTGAATACAAGCAGAATTGAACGTCTTGATAGATGTACATTTGACCCGTATGATAGACTGATAACACCCTCGGATTCAGAGGATGAGATTCTGAAGGATGATTATCCTAGGGGGAAACGAGAACCACTTTCCGTTGTACGTAATCGGGTTATAGAATCGGCGACGCCGGTACGTGTCCCACTGCAGAATAATGAGCATGACATACGCCGACAATCCAGCAGTCCTACTCTTGGTAATGACTACTCGCCTAGAAGTAGGCGAAGACATGTACGAAATGTCATTAACTTTGGGAATACTGCTGTGGATGATCATGCGAGGGTGGTTGCTCCGCGATATGATTATCCACGGTGCATGAGACATGGATGTACGATTCCCTTGAGGATGCAGAATGCAGGTTCGGCTTGTTGAAATAAATTTGTAGACTGAAATACGAATTATTTCGATTCGTATGTGAGCGGATGTTGTGAACCTATCAATATTGAGACATACAAAGTTTATACGTGTTTTGTAAACTGAATGATCCTCGCTAGACTATATCTATGATGATTCATGATGTTGAAAGGTGGTTACCATTTTAAATGTTCTTGTATTTGTAATATATACGTATATTTTTGTATTACTTTTTTTCTTTTTTGACAATAAATAGTCAGCTAACAACTTATGTCTATTTTAATTATGGTGTGAAGAAACTTAGTAGTTTGTTAAGTTTCTTTAAACTTAATAATGTTACTTCGTAACTAGAAATAACAATATCTCTATTGACTTTATAGAGGGATCGCGACATCTTTGAACTTTGCAAACTTTTACTCACTTACTATTATATACTTTTGCTTAAAACAAGTCGTCTATGTATATTAACTTTGCAAATTGTTTACAAGCTGCATCGATGTTTGGAAACTCATATTCGTATCCTGCATCTAAGACACGTTTTGGTATCACTTTCTGACCTTCGGTCATAATCTATGGATGATTTTAAAGTTCATTTAGAAATTAACATGTTCAAGATATGAATCTTAAAATTAATTGAAGCAAACCTTTGCTCGTTCTTTATGGAAAGCCATGTTTAATAAGAATGTGGGAACTGGTATCACAGCTGGTCGCCAAAGTGCAGCTGCAAATGCTTTTGTGAATTGTTCATTTGTGATAATCTGAGAAAAATATTGTATAGTTTTTAAAAGCAAATTAAATAAAAAATTATTTCTACTAAGTAACATTTTAGTGCTGATACCTGAGGTGCTACACCATTTAATATTCCACTGACATCTTTAGTGTCTATTGCAAAGAGAAATAGATTGATTAAGTCCCTTATGTGTATCCAGGGCATATACTGTTTACCAGTACCAATACGACCCCCTAAGCCAAAATAAAATGGTAGAAAAATTTGACCTATCATTCCACCTTTTCTGCCTAGTACAACACCAGATCGTATGGTAAATTGTCGGATGTTGGAGTTTGTAGAAAGTTCAGCTGCTCTTTCCCACTCATGGCAAAGTTCTAATTAAAGATAAACATTGCATCAAACTATTAGTATGCAATTACCTAAACTTAATCAATATGGAGCAAACATATTTTGCACTTTAACCTGATAAAAAGTCATATTTTTCACATTTGGAATCCTCCGTGTATTCAATCTCACTAGGCTTGTAGTAAGCAACTCCTGATATAGTGGCAAAGGTTTCAGCCTTGGTATGTACAACTGCTTTAGCCAGAGTTTTTGTAGTATAGACACGGCTATTCCATACATTTTGTTTAAAGCCTGGAGTCCATCTACATCTTGGATCAAGAATATTCTGTCCAGCCACGTTAATTACAGCTGATATATCTTCAGGTAGACCGCACCGTTCTAACTCATTCTAGAGGATTGAAATGCTGAACAGATCATACCACTCTGTCATTGATCCACAATTCACAATGTATCTTTTGGATATGTGAATCATAGATCGATAATTTTCCAATGAAAAATATAAGTATCACCACAACCAATTCCCAATCACGTTACTTTCAATCTTACCCAAGTAATTCTGCCAGGACCAGGCATTCGTGAGACAACAGTAGTATTCACACCAAATATTCTAAATGTGTCCACTAAAGCTGATCCTATAAAGCCTGTCCCACCACCTACAAAATTATGTAATCTTAAATTCATCATTCTAAAAGTAAATATTAAAACGTGACTAATTTGAAGACTCACCAATAACCACATGTTTAGACATTTTTCTTTGTGGATGAGGTAATTTACTTGTTTTATTTAATGAACATAAACTTGCTCCAAAAACGAGCAAAGTGGCTATGCACTAGCGGCATGTCCAAAATATCCCCACGTAGCCTAACAGTCTAGTAGTCTAGTAGTCTATATGTAAGTAGAATTACCAGAAATACCCAAAAATTCATTCGCTCTGCCAAAAGGTAATGCTTTCGGTACATTCGTTATAAATTAAGTGGTGGCACTACTAATGTTCATTCAGCATTTAGAATGCCGACAAAGTTCCCTTGGTAATTAAAGATCTCAAATCCAGTTGCCGGTATTACCGCGTCGTGGCGCTACTGTTGCAATTCATTGACACACGTGACCATTACCGTTGAACACATTTTCCTGTAGGTGCACTAATCGAACGTAAACACAGGTAAACAGTAGAAATGGCATCTGCGTTGGAAAATTTAGAAACCCAGCTGGAACTTTTTATCGAAAACGTACGACAGATTCGTATAATAGTTAGTGATTTCCAGCCTCAGGGACAAAATGTGCTAAATCAGAAAATGTAAGTTTGGACCCCTTTCTCTGTATCAGAAATTGGCAGTGTCATGTTTGGTTAGAATGATTCTTGATAAATTGTAATTCATTCCTATTTATTTAAATTGTCATTTTCTTTCAGCCAAGGACTTGTAAATGGTTTGCAAGAGGTAGACAAGTTGAAGTCACAGGTGCAAGATGTTCATGTGCCATTAGAAGTGTTCGAGTAAGTATATTATAGCGTAATGCATAATGATGTTTATATTTATATTGTTCTAATAATTCATTATATCTTTGTTTTTCAGCTATATTGATCAAGGTAGAAATCCACAACTATATACAAAGGATTGTATAGAAAAGGCTCTAACAAAGAATGAACAGGTCAAAGGAAAAATTGATGCCTATCGAAAGTTTAAAGCTAACATGCTTGTAGAATTGAACCGAGTATTTCCAAATGAGCTAACAAAATATCGTGCGATTCGTGGTGATGAATAAATGTTCTTGTGCTTTTCATTCTTATGCCTATCAATCTCATTTCCACTAACATCAGATTATAATATACTCGTACTTTGTACACGGTATCCTATATATGTGTGTTATGTAAAATATTTATAATGTGAAAATATATTGGAGAACTTTATTTACGTCTCTTTGTCTCTTTTCCGTTTTACAGCATATTAATTTCAAGACGAAATTTACTTATAATCTTAATCAAACTTAATGTAAGATTTCATGCTCCAATTAAAAATGAATCAAACGATTTCTTTCTTAGAAATGAAGAACAGGTTTCCATTCGATTTGCGGTCATTCACCCATTAGTAAGAAAGAAAAACAGAGTCGTTAAAAAGGTGCATTGGAAGGTCAGTAGACAAGAAACTGCATTAGTGTGTAACCTCAGGAGGGAGAGAGTCAACTCCACTAAAATAAAACTACAATATCAGCTAAATCATAAAAATTCTCCAGATCCTAAAAGAGCCAATTTATTTACCATTGCCAAACAATGTCATGTTTAGAATTGCGTACTGACTTTGATGAAAAGCTGATTACTAACTCATAATAACGTTTCAGCAGTAACAATAGTCGTATACCAAATTTGTGAATTAGCTCAAGCAAATACGAACTAACCATTAGTTAAAGTACCAAACAAAATTCGTCAAAATTTGCAAAAGCATCACTACTCGAAACAGTAGCTGATCAACAATTTCGATCTTACGGAAGATTGATCTAATAACGAAATATATTTAAGCAATCATATTTAACGCTTGGTATTAATCATTGTTCTATTGTTTTCTGACTTATTTATTACTTTCCAGGGAGATATTGATCGTTTTTCAGTTTTCATTTCACTTGTTCATTTTATCTTACTTATTTGCTTTTATTCTTAGTCTTTCCATTCTGCGGCAGGATTGCTACGTGATCTTTCTGACCATGACGATTAGACGCTCGCGCACACTGACTCATCACGTGGCGCGCCTAGGTATGTACTAGCAGAGTGGGATATATATTATGATTTTAAGAGTGAAATGCTGTTATAGAATGTCGACAAGACCTGTAGAATATCAGTTTCGCAGTTGACTGTCGTCCTAACGACAGGTCTCAGTATGTTCGTCATATTATTATTGGTTTTTGGAACTTTGCAGATATTTGGCGATGCTCATAAGATCAAGTAAGTTAAATTTTTTTAATACATTACCCAAATAGTACAATATTCCATTTAATGTACATATAATATTGTGACAGTAGTCATTTCCCACTTATTTTACACGGTGATTCGTTTAACTTGGCACAAATGAATATCTCAGAAAGGAACCATTTTACGAAAAAATGTTCGAACAAATTTCGTTTGGTTTCGGATGAGAAAGAAAGTGCTGTGCCGTTATTTCTTAATTGCGGCGGTTTTCAAGGTCTTGAAGGTCAACATGACTTGTTTAAATGGGAATATATATTTTTTATTGTAGATTATTATACTGTACAAAAAACCAATTAACTTTTGTCTGAAACGTTTTTTAATAGAACCAGTATTTTCGATGTTATTTCAATATCAAGCGTAGACCCCGGGATTGTTAATAAGTATAGCGATTTTGTAGATACAAAAATCGGAAGAAAAGAAAAAAGTTAATTAATGTTCTTTTCTTGCGTAAATAATCTATTTACGTGTGTATATTGTGTATAATCTTGTGTATATTGCCAAATAATATTATAATAAGTGTTAAAAATTATGTCCTTCAACATCAATGCATTTTTGAACTTTCTTGAGCTAGAAAAAAACCTTAGTTAATTTTTTTCTTCTTTTGTTGCAAATACTGGTCCTATTAAAAAATGTTTCAGATAAAAGTTAATTGGTTTTTTGTACAACATAACAATCTGCAATAGAAAATAGAGATTCCCATTTAAAAAAGCCAAGTTGACCTTCGAAAGAACTTGAAAACCGCCGCGATTAAGAAATAACAGCACAGCACTTTCTTTCCCCTTCGAAACCAAACGAAATTTGTTGGAACAATTTTTTCGTAAAATGCTTCCTTTCCGAGATATTTGTTTGTGCCAAGTTAAACGACTCACCCTGTATACATAATATCGAAGGACCAGGGATGTTATATTGACGTTATAAAAATGAATGGGTAACTACAACTAACATACACGCTACATGTAATATTGCATTTGCTGGATATTATTCTTTAGAGATAAGAAACTGTAACATTGCTGATATGTAATAGTTACTTCGTCTTTGTTGGGACATGGATTGAATTAGGAATATTAAACTGCAGCTATAGAAAGTGTTTTTCAAAGAGCACACGTTCTTTCGTACGCGCAGTGAAAGCCGTTTGTATTACTATTCTCCACATAAAAACCTATATATGATTAGATATGATCATGTAGGAAATTTGGCCATATCTGATCATTGGCCATATGATCCATAATCCGATATTATCATACACAAGTAGACCTAATCATACAACATGTGTAACGCTCTGGATCGTTAATACCTAGATAACACAACGTGTTTGTGCAAAACCGTTGAATTTTTGCAACCAATGTTTGCTGAGAATATACTATGAATTTGCTATGAAATATAAATAAAGAATATAATTCTAGCATATGTGGAACAAAAGTTTAATAATTATTGCAACAAGCGAAATAGATTCTTTTATGCTGTTATTGGTACAAATGTATGTTGTAAATATACTAGCAAAAGTGATTACTTGAACGAACTAGCATTTTGTTAACAATAAATTATTTCTTTAAATTTACGCGATCTGAACATAAAATGACTAAAATACTTATAAATTCCTATTAAGTATTGGAATTCTAACGAGAACGTATGTGCGTAGTACATTTTCATTTTTTTCTAAATAGTTATTAAAATTTAATATTTAATTCAAATTCTACATATATTTGTAGTTATATACATATAACGTTATATACATATAACGACATAAAGCTATATAGAATAGTTTTTTAAACTTGTTGTGATAACTCCTGTTTAATGGACTTTAATAAATTGTTCCGAGAAAAAGTTCTCTTTAGAAATGAATCAGTGAAATTTCACTAATTGTTTTATTTTTTTAAAAATTTACTGAAGATATCGTCATTACAGATTTAATCCACTGCTACTATACATCAGTGGTTTCGTTTTACAGGAGTTCTGTAAGGGGTTGATTCTGGTGCCACTAGATTTTTTGGCGCGTTTTCATGTAGAGTGTAAATCGCATTCCAGTATAGGTTACTTCCAGTATAACACTACCTGACCATGCTAACAAATAGGAATTGATGCAGCTTCCTATAGCATTATGAATAATATGGTACTTTTCTTTGCGATGTATGTACGTTATGCTTGTACATAATTGTGTAACTTTCTATGGCAACAAGATTTTTGAACTTCCATATGTTGCACGTATATGAATATTGACGATTCTAATTCTTAATTAAAGTGATATTTTCAAATTGGGCTGTTGACTCACTGGGTAGAGTGTCGCAATCCACATTTCGAGCATTCAAAGACCGCAGGTGTTCGATTCCCATTTGCGTCAAAACAAATAGACTTGGTGTGCACCAACCGTAAATTTACATACATAGAAATTAAAAAGTTGTTTTGAATATAGTTCATATATTCTCTATTTAATTTCCAATGGTACATTTATAACTGCGACTGAATATCCACTAATTGTCAGTGAATAGTCATTGATTCATTTTTAGAAAGTATAACAACACTGCAAGTTGCAAGCAATTTACCACCAATTTACTTTTTAACATTTGAACCATCTATTGTTGCAAATATCGCAACAAACAAGGAAGCATATTTTTATGGTTTTACCGATAATTCAAATAAAAGCTTGCTGCGCGATTACTGGACGCACGTTCCTATCTGGATGTATTTCCGTCTGGAGACATTCCCGTCCGACTTCTCGCAAGTAGCCAACAAACATTTCGTTACCAACGTGACAATATGATATATTTGCAAAACTCGCTTAGCCTCAAGTACTTGCAGATATATTGAAGGTGAAATAATATCAATATCACAAAGCCTACTAGCGTGAATGAATTTTTGAATTATAGAAGTCATCATCAATAGAAATATCTGATAAATTTTTCACAAAAATTTCATCGTTCTTATTGTCGCTGTATGAAACCATTTTTATTTATTACCCAACATCAAACGTTGTGATTTCAATTATTTTAATAAAAATTTTACACTGTATTTAAATAAAGCAAATCGCAAACTAAAAAAAGTTTACGAAGACAGATATGATAAGAGAAGCATAACTGATGGTTACGTGACTTATATTTCATAACAGAAATGTATCACTTCAACATTATAAACGATAAGTTACGACGCGCATACCAAAAAGTTATTCTTGGCACACAAACTGAAAAGTACTGTTATAGTAGTTTTTGCAATGTTATATATGTATACTTTACGCAAGAAAGTCAGAAAGAGAGAGACCGGTGTTGTGTATTAATGTTACACTTTCACTACTTGGCACCAACGAGTACTTATTCGTATTTTGTCAAAATTATATTCCCCTCCAATTCCGCTGATCTCAAATGCCGTGTCTCTGTTGCTTCCTACGATTTTCTTAAACTTATTTATATTTTTATTCGTTCTTTACAGATCGCCATGGCATTACGAGTGCTCTGCGGGTCTCTGCGAAAAAGCTGCAATTTCTTCAAATGTTAGTACACCATTATCTCTAGAGGTTTGTCAGATGTTCTGTGGAGAGGCTGGGGCTATCTGGCCAAAGCCTACGGGACATCTTTCCTTAGGAAATTTCGTCGTCCACCTGGACCCTGAAGCCATAAAGATTTCCGGTTTAAATTCCACCTCGAAAGTAAGCACACTTCTATCTAGAAGCGTTAACCTGCTGAAGAGCAATGTACAGCGATTAGGTGGAGGCGTAGCGAATAATAAAAACGGAAAGGCCCTGTGGGTTCATTTTTCCGGCTCGTTGGTGAAAGACCTCAGTATGCCCTTAGACATCAGTGAAAACTATACCTTGGAAGTGCGACAGCTTGATGATGGGACGGTAAGCTGGCAAAGGGAAAATCTTTAAGTATCTTGACTTCTGTTATTTCTCAAACATAACCTTGTACTCCATTTGATTCGAGGTCAATGCCACGATCGTCGCCGAGAGTTACTTCGGGGCCAGACACGGTCTAGAGACACTTTCACAGTTGATTGTCTTCGATGATCTACGTTCGCAAGTTCAAATAGCTCGCGACGTTAACATCGTAGATGGTCCCGTTTATCCCTATCGTGGAATAACTCTGGATACATCTAGGAACTTCATAGACAAAGCTGCCATTCTGCGTACCATTCGGGGCATGGCTATGTCCAAATTGAATACCTTTCACTGGCACATCACAGACTCTCATAGTTTCCCTTACGAAAGCAAAAGCTTGCCGAATATGTCGCATTATGGATCCTACACTCCGCAAAAGGTTTATACTTCGAAGGACGTTAAAGAAATCGTCGATTACGGTTTACTTCATGGAGTACGAGTCGTTCCTGAACTGGATGCACCGGCTCACGTAGGCGAAGGATGGCAATGGGTAAGTTTTTAATGGTTGTCCGTCACCTGCGATACCCACTGGTACTGTTTTTTGTTACAAGTGATACATAAATTTTTTATAGATAGATAATGCACTGTTGTGCTTCAAAGCTCAACCCTGGATGAACTATTGCGTTGAACCTCCTTGTGGACAATTGAACGTGTCTAATGAGAAGGTATATGAAATCCTGGAAACCATCTACAAGGATCTAATACATGATTTCAAACCTGCACTCTTTCACATGGGTGGTGACGAGGTGAGCACCAAGTGCTGGAATTCTGTAGAGTCCTTCAAGCAATGGATGGCGACTAAAGGCTGGAACACTACTGGTGATTCAGGTTTCATAAAGGCCTGGGAATATTTCCAAACGAAAGCGTACGATGCCTTGACACGTGCCAATAACGGAAAAACGCTTCCTAGTATACTTTGGACCAGTGGTCTCACTGATGAGAATAACATTGATTATCTGGATCCTAATAAATATATAATACAGATATGGACAGAATCGTCGGATAAGTCTATCGCTCGTCTTATTAAAAAAAAATTCAAAGTTATTTTCTCGAATTATGATGCTGTTTATCTCGATTGCGGGTAAGTTCAAATTTTTAATTAATCTCTTAAATCTTAGATTACATCGGGTTATCACGGTTGCTTAATTTGATTATTCTCAGATTTGGTGCGTGGGTCACCAGTGGTAACAATTGGTGTTCACCTTACAAGGGATGGCAGCTATTATATGATAATTCACCATTGAATATTATTATCAAACAAGGGTTCTCTACTGCCGATAAACAGTATATTCTTGGTAAGTTAAAAGAGGACTGCTTCTTTGAATAAGAGATAAAGGAAAAATTTTCACGCATTGTATACTCTTCTTGAAGGTGGGTCAGCAGCTCTCTGGACCGAACAAGCAGATACTAGTTCCCTAGATGGCAGACTCTGGCCACGTGCTGCTGCCTATGCCGAAAGACTCTGGGCAGAACCAAGTTCCAGTTGGATTCATGCAGAGCAGAGGATGCTGCGACATCGTCAGCGGCTGGTTCAGAAAGGAATACAAGCTGATCAGCTCGAACCTGAATGGTGTTCACAAAATCAGGGCGCCTGTCCCCTTTAAACTTCCCTATATGTGATACACTGTAAATCCTATTTGTCTGAAAATAAATTTTCTTGAGTACTTGATACATTGGTTTTTATTTTTTATTAACCAAAGTATGTGAGCAGATATGTGCAATATAGATAATTGTACGCGTATGATGTCGATGAGGTTATTTTTTAAATTGAAGTTCAGTCATTCCTGAACGTTAAATTTCGCAAAATACTGATTAACATTAGCTGACGAATAAGGAAACACAATGTGTCCTCTACAGACTTATCTTGGATAAATGTGTACGGCCATCTGATTTGTTATGAAACAGTCATGACGACAATGGTAATGGCAATAACCGATTGATCATAAGTTTTTTGATTACTCATAGCTAATATTGAATCACGTCTTTATCAGTTAGTTGTTGCCGTACACGATGGTGTTACTTTGTTTTACGTGTTAGAAATGTACGGCTCTTTTTATTTTCATAAAATCTAAAATTCTTTGTTCTTTCTTTTATAATTTACTCGAAAATAATCTGGAATAATCTAAGTAAATGCATCTCCAGATATTCAAATTTAATATAGATGCAATGATGACGTAAAAGAAAATTAATGCTTCTTTGAATCCTCATTGGTCAATATTTTATAATTGACTAAATGGGACATACACAATGCTTGCTGGTCGTTTGAACAGAATTTAGTAATTGTCCTGCTTATCGTCAAAGGGAGTTTTGACAAAATATGTAGTGAGAGTTCCTTTTCCCTTGACATACGTTGGTCCGCGACAGATAAGCTCGTACCCAGCATTCTTGAGAATATTCGCAGTATCTTCTGTGACTTGAAGTTTGCCTATGACTCCACAACTGTCCATCCGTGATGCTACGTTTACTGTATTACCCCAGATGTCGTACTGGGGTTTTTGAGCCCCGACTACGCCAGCTATCACTGGTCCATGATGCAAACCTGGTTAAGCAAATGAATATAAAGCTAGTATCTATAGTATTCGTGTAGATAATTGAATAAGACATTCATTTTGTGCTTACCCATCCTTAATTTGAACCTTTGGAAAGATTCTCGGTTAATCTGATCGAGCACCGTCATAAGAGCAATGGCAAACTCTACAAGGACGATCACGTTATGATCTTTCTGTTTCTTGGGGTTGATCTAATTCCAGAAAAAAGAAATTCATTCTAATTAAAGAATCTGAAAATATTCTTTTGTCTCGTTTCTTCCCATAAAAACTTACCTTGCCGTTAGCTTCATCTTCTTTACCCGGACTGAGACCAGAAGCCAGCATATAAGTACTGCCAATAGTCTTGATCTTTTCAATTCCAGAGAACTTTGGTTTGAGCAAGAGATAATCAAAATCGCAGATAATCTCATTAAGAAGTCTCAGGCATTCAAGACCCTGTTTATTAATATCAGTTTCGTCATAGAATTCTTTATAATTTGGAATTGAAGCGAACATTACAGCTATGCTACTATAGCGTTCATGATACAAATCCTGTAAATGCACTATGATCAATTATCTTAATTTTGATTTTTAAGAACACTAGCCCTACCTGTGTTGTTCTAGTGGCCAGAAAATGATCAGCCACATGAGCTGGAAGTATATTTTCCAGTAGAATCTTATTAATACCCCTCATAGTCTCGACCTCATCCTGTTCAACTCTGAGCTTGCTCTTCCAAAGGAAATCCGTCCTCGTAGTATACTCGATTTGACGATCCAGGATGTGCAGCAGCAACGTAATTAGTATGAGAAGATATCCAAGCTGTACCAGATAGTTTATACCAAAAAACCTAAAGAAACCGGATACCAAGGGAAGATTGAAAATCCATTAAACGATCAGAAAGAGACTGGGTACATACTCATTTTTATGTTTAACATAGTAAAGATCGATCAAAGGCGCTCTAGAAAATGTTACAAGGACTACAATGACAGTTGATATCATCACGCCAAGTTTTAAAAAAAATCCAACTCTCAGATGACTCCATCCAATGAGAAGTGCTAGTGCAGCACAGAAAAGATAGGCCTGAAAGTAAATAAAAATGAAAGAGATGCTAAAAACTAATTAAATAATATAAAATAGACATACTGGAGCAAGATGATAGTATTTAGCTGGATCCTGTTCCCAGAAGTCAAAAAGACTGACAACGGAAGAAGCAGCAGCCAGAAGTGCAGTTATTAAGTACACAGCAATGCGAAATCCACGACTCAGAAATATGTGAGTCGAATCTTCGACAATCCCAACACTAGTAACGACGCTAACATTATCGCCAGCACAGTTGTCAACAATGCTGGTTCTACCACGACTTCTAATACCTCCGCCACTTCCAGGTCTGGTAGATTTCTCACTAGCGTACCATGAGATAATTGTGAACATGAGTAAAGTCACAAGACCAGCAGTATAGCAACCATACACTGTTATATTTCTGAAAAGAAATCCATTTCTCTAATATATTTTATATGCGTAAATTGTATATGAAGCATTCTTAGAAAATCGGAAGTAAGAAGTAGGACGTTGAATGTTGAATATAGGAAAGACGAAATTGGTTCTCACCTTGGTAAATAAATGACTTGGATGCAAAACATGGCTATGTAAAGAACATTTGCCGCTAGGACATACAGCGGATACTGATGATCTGGTTGCTCCCTGTAACGTTGTTCCTGGTCCTTATCATCGAACCAATAAGTAAGCTGCGACATACCCTCTCTAGTCGCACACCATTGTCTGTAAAGCAAGGTACACAATGATAATAACGTTGAGATGGAAATTAAAAGATATCATGACTCACTTAACGTCAAAGAAATTTGTACTGTGCGGCAGGAGATTCGACTCGATCATCGCGATGCTCTGTAAGGTCAATAGGATAATAACGGTTAATCAAACAAAAATTCAATCTCGTGTATAACGCACCGTGAGACCGATATTTTTGGCCAGGGTGGCCTCGGCGATATTTGCAAAAGGCTTATCCGCACCCCAGCACTCCACGTACTTTGTCATCTTACTGCTTGGTCTGGAGCTGCACAATGGAAATCATGCCGTAAGCTCCTAAGGATACAGGAACAGACAGACAGAGAGCCGTAGAGTTTTACCGGGATGGTGCTGGACCAGAGGATGCCTGATTACCATGATTGCGCTGTTCTTCACCATTCTCCAAGCCTCTATTTTCTTCATTGCTTTTCTATAATAAAGTATAACGATATTATATTATATATCAGGAGAAATTGAAATCCGTTTATTATCATCGTATACCTTTGGTGGTATTATTAGATAAGTTTCAACTTTGTGTTCCGCTAGATAACTCTCGCGTGATCCGCCATCCCCAGGTTCTACCTCAAATCGATCCCGCAGCTGTAAGAGCGTAGCTTTCGTTACGTGAACTCGCCTGAAACAAAATTTGATCAAAATAAAAAAAAACTGTATTATAACTTTCAAAAACAAATTTAGCACTGCTTCACAAATTTTTTATCCAGACGGAAATCGAGTTACCCGGGTAGTCCTCCGCTCTCCATATGATTGGCTAGGGTGACGTCATCGCTCCAAACATCGAATTGCCATTTACGTAGACCGAGTACTCCGCATAGTACATTTCCGGTGTGAATACCAATCCTCATATCCACATTGAAACACGTAGCTTCGCGTACGAATCTGTACTTATTAGCATTGAATAATTGTTTCGTTTTTCACAAACATTTTTAACGTTTCCTTAGGCGCTACTTACACTGATTGTTAATTTTACCTTATGGCCTCGATCATCTGAAGACCCATATTAACACAGTTATATGCGTGATTCGGTCTAGAAACCGGAAGTCCGGATACACAGTAGTAACAATCGCCCAGGATCTTTATCCTCATGCACTGGTTATCCTGAAAAATATTATTTTTTATAATATCCACAATATACATACAGATATCCATATAGATTTTATACAAGGATAACTCTGCAATATGCAACATTTATAGGTGACATGGGAAGAATAAAATATAAGTAAAGCATTGAAAATCTCCAGTGTCTTTTATCTTGGTTACACGTTGCTCTTCTAGGTATGAAAAGCTCACGTACGAACCTTATAGGCTGGCTCAAAGCTCATTTGACCATAAACTTTTTTTATGTGCCACACGACCCTCTAGAGCAAGCTTCATACTACCCTTCCGGGAGGAAGAGTAGCTCCTCAGGTAAGAAGGACTTTATTGAATTTGCAAGTTCTCAGTTGATTTTTTCCACAAAGCTCAGCGTGCTACTGAAGTTTACCACATTGAGAATTTATGAAAATATTTCTCGCCAGCTGTCCTCTTTCATAAAAGTTTACTAAAACTTCACAAAGCTAACGTATGTATAACATTCGTATATAGAACTAGGAATCACGCTACAGTAACATACGCGATTTAAATGGTTTTTTCTTTCTTGAAGAAATAAACTTACATAATTTTTTCAGCATTTGATGAACCGACTTAACAGGGTTCATCTCGTGAACAACACTGATGCGAATAATGTCAGTTCATGTCTTTTGCGAAAGAAGGATATATTTATGTTACAAGCTTGGTTTATCTACCTGGGCTATTTGATCGAACCTGCCAAAAAGCTCGTTCAGAGTCTTCACGAGGTCTGAAGCTGAGAGTTGCTCTGAGAGAGGAGTGAAGTTTACAATGTCAGCATAAAGTATACTGAAAAAAAAAGAAATGAAATTTCTTAGCAAGCTTCTATATCCGTAATCAGTTCAGCTCTTTTTTTACTTTTTATATTAGCGTACAGCAGCAAACAGCTGTAAACAGCACAAATAACATTTTTTTTGACTATAGAACAAAAATCTGGTTTTGTATAAAATAACCAGGGTTCTTTAAAAGATTGTACCGTGTGTACGTAATGCAGACACGATATCACGCGCAATCGCATTAAGCGTGCTGGACGCTAATTACGTATCGTAATTAACGAGCGTGCCCGAATAATTTGCTCTCACCTGACATTATTGTGACGCTGAACGTACATCTCGTGAAATCTGGTTTGCTTGTGTTTGCTCACCTCTTGACAAGCATCAGCCATTTTTAACATGATGTTCCGTTTTACCTAGATAATATAAAATTTGTATCTTGATTGTTAATCGTTATTTACTAGTTGATATAATTCAATAGCAAAGTTTATTTTCACCTCTGCTGCTATGTATGCTGGAATAACACTAAGTAGAAGCTGCTCCTGTTGTTCCCGTTCACATTCTAGTTTGACCCTGGACTCTATGACAGTTTTGGTCCCGGCGAAGGTCCTTCGATGTGCCCTGGCCGTAAGATTCCTGAAGTAGAGACCAGCTGCACATCCAGCTAACAAAAGTATGGTTTCCCCAACCAGTTGACTATACGGAAGGTCATTGTTTCTTATGAACTCATAGAGCAGTTTTCCCAGATGAAGAAGCACGAGTGCAAATGCCACGATGGTGGGTCTGTGATTCTCAAGTCTAGGCAAGGCGGATACAAAGCTCAGGACGCCTACGAAGATAGGTATGACACCTCCCAGCACGAGAATACCAAGTCCCAGAATTATGGAAGATGCCATGCCAACTAATAGTCTCGTGCGTCGTGATGAAAGCATCGAGGGGAATTGCGTGACAACCAGAAGACTCAAGGACGACAGCAGCATCGTCGTCAGCGTCGTGACCGGTACCAGAACGTACGTCAGATCCTGAAATACCGGCAATTCATCCATCTTGGCAATGCATTGCCATAGTCAAATAAACGCCTGCAGATCTTTAAGATTAAACCAGGAAGTATGTGCGGCCCCCCGGGTTGACCTAGTGATTACGTAGTTACTTCACTGAATCAGCAACGCTATCTAGAATAACCTAGCTAAAGCTCTCCCTTCGGGCTCTCTCTTGCATGGTTCAGGATTAATATTGACTGAAAGTTTGGTCAATCTAGGAGCAGGTCACGAAATCCCAAGGCGACCGACTTGAAAATCGAATTGACTATGGCGTCAGGCAACCCCAACCAAGTTCTCAGTAAATATACAACTGTGTTTGAACCCTTAAATCTCTTTTTCTTCGAACCTTTAGCTTCTCCATACTTCCACTATTCTTCTCTATGTTCAGGAAGATATTTGATTTTTTTCTCGGCAACAGCCTGACAGCAGCTATTTGTCTTGCGTAGTTTGCGTCAGTAAAATTGTTATAATTAAAAAAGTGTAAGTGAAAATTGTGTGCTCCAGTAAAAGTAGGCAAATTAGAGTATAACGGTGCATATAACAGTCCCAGGATACTTACGCTAGAGTGCAAATAGCAGAGAGCAACGAGGGCTATAAAAGTAGCAATGGCTGCCACAAGAAGACTTCCGGTATACAAGGAGGCTGTAAGTTTACCCTCGTATCGATCACGTAATTCCGCAAGCTCTTTAACACTCTCGTCCTCTGGAAACTCTGAAAATAAAAATGAGGATATAAAATAGATAGCAATGTTCCTTTAAATATTTTATTTTCATATTTCCGCTTGTGTCAAAGTTGCATAATGCTATTATGTCTTCAAGATATGTTTCCTGCTTTCAACCACATTAAGATCTCAATTCGATCAATTTTACAGAAACGCTAGTCGATGTGATAATTAAACGTCAAAACCAATCTGATGCTCCTATGATTCCTGATCGATCAATTTCTATACGTATGTCTCTCCTCTCGCGTCAACGTCAACGTCAATGCTCGCTGACATGATAACCGCGTCACGCGTTACGGCACCACGCTGGGATACTATATATGTGATAGACACTACTAAATGCATTACTGTAGAACAGGGTATCAATTCCTGATAGATCAATGATCGAATTCCAAACGATTTCTAGTCGCTCTCGGAATTTGGATGAATTCAGACGTATCACCCTCTCGGCCGTATTAAGAAAAATTCGATCAGAGTCGACAGCACTTGTGACAAGAGCAGTTGGTGATGGAAGTCGAAGCAGTGATAAAAGGCAACGATGTGGGATGTGATTCTGAATTCTAAGGCAATGGCTTTCAATTTTACGCCTATTGTAGATGTTCAGATCTTTTGGACGTCTAAGATATCTGGTGAGTTTACACGTCATCAATGGGAATGGTAGTGTGAAATATCGCGTGATGAACTAAGTGCTATCATCTGTTTGTTTTATAACTGGAAATTGCTGTACACTCACATTAACGTAATGAATAAGAATTGCCAGGACGCTAATGAAACCTCCGCTGACCTAGGACACGCTAAGGGGACTAAATATCGACACGGCCAACTTCAGTTCTGTAACTCACTTCACTTACTAGCATCGTCTTCGACATAAGCGTGGTTTTTAAAGGATCTATAGGATTAAGAACTAAATCTATTATATAAGAACGTTATAAAAACTAAAGTATCCAGTATAGCTATTACCTTTTAACCTATAATCTAGTACAATGCAATTTTTCTTGCGAGGGTTGGTATTGGGTTGGCATGAAAGTAATGAGACACTCTAGTAAACTCGACACATGTCCTTTTTTAAATTAATTGTTTTCGACCATATTCTAGTATGTTCTAGAACATTCTCGATACTTCTGCTCTGTGGGTATATACAATAGAATATGGTCAAAAACAATTAATTTAAAAAAAAGACATGTGTAGAGTTTTCTAGAGTGTCTCATTACATTGATGCCAACCCCATATATCATTCTCACTAGAATATCGCATTGCTGATTCCTAATGAACAGTTTCGAATTCGGTGTCTCTGGCAGGAAGTGCTAGGAGTTTCCTGTTACAATCTTTAAATCCTACAAAATATTCATGGCATTAAAACGACTGGTGTTATTTTTGCAAGTACTTAAAATTTTGCATTTCAGCTATTTTCATCTTTTACATTTAAAGCTTAGAGTGCCGAGATAATTTCTTGTAAACTGGAAATATAACTTTCAACGTGAAAAGCACAGAAAGGTGTAAAAAACTAAATAGCACTGTTCAAAATGTCATATCTGTTTGTTGTATCTTCGTCTTTTGGGAGTTTTTATTGTACTGTACTTCTTGCAATCACGCACATTTTCACTCTAAGTATCCTTATACGTGGGAAAGCTAGAGAGCTAATATCCTTGGGTGGAATTAACTACCAGAGATTGTCAGGAGCTACATGTGGATTATTAAATTTCTGCTAGCAGCCGATACGCCCTGATGCCTAGATTAATTTTGCACTGACGACTCTTCAACGACAGGGTTTACTCTGTCCCCTCGGTCTAGACCCCACAATCCACACAGTACTTTCCCCTTAATTTCTCTCACTGCCTATCATTCCTACCAGTCCTCTTGAGTTATTATATATAAGTTATTATATATAACCCTTACTCTAAACTTCTGCTGCTCTCCTGTTAAAGAAATACGCAGTGGAGACTTCGAAATTTCCTCGAAAGATTACCTCGCTAGACGTATGTATACACATATCTATGTATTGTCTACAGTTTCCCTTCGGTTAGGTGGTGCCAACGCCGGGGAATTCAAGAGTTTTCCTACGTAAAAACAAATAAGTGGATACAAGGATAAAGCATAGAAACGATATCACAATTACTCCCCTAGGACTTATTGGGTTATACCCTAGAGGGCACGATCCGTCGTCGCCAATTCTATTTATGTTGGCGCAACTGTAAACGAAAAAACTTTTCTACGGTTCTCTCTCCCTCTCTCTCCCCTCCCCCCTTCCACCCTCTCCCCCTCTCTTTCTTTCTTTGACGGTCAGAAACAAATATTTAATTTTAAATAATATATAACGAATCCGATAGATTTTTCTAATCGCGATTTATTAATTTCGCGGAACGGCTCATTATTACAATCTCATTTTCTCAATTAGAATTTCGCCTTTTGTTATTATAAACTTATCTCATCCTCCGGCATGCATAAATCGTGTGTATCGTACATTTAAATCTCTATACCATGACGCCAAGTCACGCGAGTACTTTTTTACCCCATCAAATTTCCATTTTGCTCTCGGGAAGTCATTTACTTGACTCCAACGGAAAAATAATCATGGACAAGAACAGGCAATCGTAAATGGAAAGTTATATTCCGTTAAATTTGTACGGCTCCGCGCACCCAGGAAATGTACCGAATTAAATTCGAGAATCGTAAAAGGATATTGGCTCCTTTCATTATGGATAAACGTTTTAATATTGTGCATGACCCGGAAAACGATAAAAAAAGAGCTATTAAGCTATTTAGTCATGTTAGAAGAACGAAAGTCGCGTATGTTCCAATCGAAATGTAACATAGGTACATATAAAACGTCCACGTTTTTCTAGCGCACTTTTCCTGTTGCGCCTTCGAAGTTTCTTGGCTGATATCCAATTGTTCCACTGGAACAGCTGAGAGTCATAACTCACGGCTGAGAGAAGAAAAACCTCCCAAGAGGAATCTCAGTAAATCTATACATACCGATATGTGAAAGGCTGGCTTTATATAGCATTTTCTTCTGCCTGCTATGTACGTCCGACTCTTTAACGCACGTAAATACCCATAAGCATGTCTCTCTCGCGCTCGAACGAGATATACGAAAATAAAAAATCTCCAAAATTTTAATATTATTCTTTGCTTGCATAGATTGGATAAGGACACATGTATACTCTTCTCATGCAGCACAAGACATTCAGATACGTTTTAGAAACATTGCTTAAACTTAATAACCAGATTGATATGTTTCAGCAATGTTTCTAAAACGTATTTGAATGTTTTGTGCACATAGGTTGCAATATACCTATATATGTGTAAATATGTTACTGTGAAAACTCATTTAATTAACGTTCCCTGTTGTTTACTTCACACAAACGTGAAAATAACTGCCTGGCTAAGCTGCTAACCTTTGTCAAAGGTCCATGAGGGAAATGAAAGGTAAAGGAAAAAGGTATCCATTATAAGGAAGTACATTGCGGTTTTCCATGCAATCCATTAGAGCTTTAATAAAATATGGCCTGAAGACTGCGATTGTAAGCCCATTAATATTATTGTTTCAAAGTAATAATGTAAAATAGCTTTATATTCGTGAAATGCCAATTGGAAGTTTCAGGACACATTACAGATTTTTTTTTATTTACTCTACATGCTCTATATATGTTATTTCAGGTGACAAGTTCATTTGAACGGGTGATTAATGGGACTAGCACGTTAAAAGTGCGCCATGCTTTTTTTTATAACAAAACACTACCTTAACAGTGTGAAAGAGAAGGAGTGAATCTCGAGGTGAACAGCAATGGCGCGAGCTAACTCGTACCCTGACGCACAAATAGCTCGGCGAATAAAAAATAAATGATATCGTGCACAACGTATTTCGAGACAAATATTTCTGGAGATTCATGCTGTCTCGTGCGTGTCCCTTGAAACATAAAATATATGAGAAAACGATTTTTTCGTTACAAGTTGGAAACACTCTTTTATCATTGTATTTTGCTGAACGACCCTGAGACTTCGAGGGAGAGATAGTCGAGGAAGTGGAAGCAGTAAAATGAATTGGAGGCCGTACGCATTCCTGAAATTCCAACTTGTCCTGCTCTACTCGTGCGTCCTGGTTTCGCCTTTTTGCACCCTTTTCTCTTTCGATGGCCATGAGAAAGTTTAACCCCCAGAAATATTCTCATGGATTATGCAAAGTGTAACGCGGTCAATAGTCTGAGGGGTCTTGTCGAATCTCCATGGAACATTGAAGCAATAGAAAATGAGAATGGAGTGACTTCATGGGAGTGAAGGAATTGAAACTTGGGAATTTTCAGCAACGAGCTGTTTTAATTACAGGTAAATCAATTTAATAACGAGGCCAAAGCCCAGCTAGGGAAAGAGTAAAGACTAAGAGAGAGCAAGAATAATAATGTACATATTATGTATGCAGAGATCGTTTTGCAAATTCTCTTGATTGCATAATTCATCGTTTCTTAGAAACGACAAGTTCTCTAAGAATATCCTGCTATTCTCTTTAATAACCTGGGAAACTAATATTAAACGTTTCTTGTGTTTTGTTACAGGCCAATCATTGCCCCTACTGATCGTAAACACTGGTTGGGTTCTTACCCTCTTTGTATACACATCTGTCTATCTGCCTGCCTGCAGAATCATTGAAACGGGAAACTGGTCCATGTGTATCTTATTGGTGGCTGCCGTTGAATTATACAACTTTAGATTATCTGAAGAAGCCAGAGCCAAGGTCGTGACAGCTCTTTTCTCTGCGACTAATAATTTATTATGTAATTGGCAGATGGCCATTTCCAGTGAAGGTCAGCCTTCAGGCAATTGTTCCTAAGTGCGATTCAAGTTTAGCAACATAGTCAGGTCTATGTGAGTATATAAAGACATTGACAGTGAGACAGAGTAAGTTCATGGATCACAAAGAGAGATTGATAATCGAGTTATCAAGTTTGATCGTGAGAGACGATAACCAGAGTTCTATTTGTATTATTGAACTGGCAGTGAACTTATAAATGACATTGTGTATCTGCTCATGAGTTCACGATGCTATTGCTGTGCTTAATGGCGCTGGATAGAGCGACGCTTTTGAAATAGACGTTTTACGATCAGCACAGTGACGGTTGCCGCCACCATATACCAATTTTATCATCTTTATCTATGAACCTTTACTATTCTTCCACGTCTACTTGATATCTAAAGGACCTAAGGTCATTGAGAATATTTCAACAGGACACTACTGGTATTGATTGATCTTATTTTATTGGCAGTTTTGTGAAAGACTGAGGCGCCCATAAATTTAACTGTCGTGGTGTATCTTGAATACATCAAAGACCCTACAAACGGGGTTCAGATTTTAGCCTGATTCGAGAGCCGGTATTTTAAAGCATCTTTTAGCTCTGGCTTTGATTTGACGAACGATCGTCCTTCGGCAGGACTGAATCGATGGAAAGGATGTGTTTAATTATTTTGGGGTTGTAAATTAAATTAGAATTACGAGTTTCAATTACTACGAGATTAGAAGAGACTGTTTCTCTTTGGTAAACCATAAAGGACAAGCGAGGAGCATTATTTACTCTTGATAGCTTTACTATATATAGTAATCTTTTCATCGTTTCCGGGAATGTAAATGACGCTATAAAATACATTGAACACATTTGCACTTAGATCAGATCTGTTGGCGAGCGCATAAGAAGCTTTGAGAGATTTTGGCAGTGATAAAGCAAGGTGGAGTTTCAAATTGGGTTCAGGCCCAGTTTAGGTCGATGCGCTTGCATTTCCTACGGATCTTTGACAATTTCTATCTTGCTAAAGAATTCTTTAATAAATATACTTTGTTCTATGATCGATTCGGGGTGTCATATGATTAGGATTTAAAAAATTAATTTTTTATTTAATCAGTATATTTACCCGCTTCCTCCATGACGATCAGATTTATCACTTCCTATTTGTTTTCAAATCCAAATTCTACTAGGGCTCACTCCTCCGACTTCCACTAAGTCTACGTGGATCGCAAACACGTCGTCGACTAGGATGGTGTCGTGTCGCCCAAAATAAAATTTATCCAATGTGCCCGTGACAGAGTTGGTACTCGAGACGCTTCCTACGAATTGCCGAGAATTCCGAGGCGCGCGAATTTTACCACCTCTCTCTCCGACGGCGGGCTCCCTTACTGTGCGTCGCTCACGTCCACCTTGGTTTCAATAATACTGACGAATACGCCGCCGTTCGCACGCGACAACTCACGTGCGACGTCGTCGTCGGTGTCGCTGCAACTGGTGCTGGGCTGCGTTAAACGCCAGTCGTCGCGACGCGGATATGCTCTTTCTTCCTCGAGTTATTCACTGGCATTCTTTAGATAGATATACATATTCCTATACATTTTAATACCCTCAGTATGAAGAATTTCAATTAATACGAGATTACTGATAGGATTTACGAACTGTGATTAAGTAGGTAGATCAGTTTTAAAAATAGGACACTCAGTGAGTTACGAAAAATGATTCTATTCAATATATTTCAATACGTCGTTACATTATCGCTTTCTTGTTACATAATGAATTATAGTATTATACTTCGAGATCGATATGAAATCCAAATGACAGATTTACATTGCAAGCCATGAAAAGTTGGCCCCATAAAAATTGTTACGGTGCGACCGTGTATTATTAAGACGATTGAGTTAAAATATGAAATACAAATATAATATATATACAATTGAGAACAGGTGTTTATGATATGATATTGTGTCATCAAAGGAACTCCATTTCTCGTTCTATCCCGACAAATTTTAGTTGTTCAGTTGGTCCATATCTACAAAATGAATGAAAAAGGTTAGCATGATGCATGATAAAAAATGGGATAAAAAGTAATAGATACCTGTAGTCGAAAAATAATTCCTCGCCAGGCTGTATAGCTCTTTTGGCAAAAATGCCAATTCTGTGGTCACCATTTACCATCATTACTTTTGCATAGCAGTTTGGATTGATTGAATGATTGGCAAATCTAATTTTATTGCCTTTACGCGTAGCGTCTACTACGAAGTCTAAAAATGGATATTGTATTGCCAGTTTTACTGATAAATTCCAAAAAGAACTTGAGTAACGGATATGTGCATGCGGAAAACATAAACTGTACCATTATTTAAATTGAAGAGAAAACTGCACATATATTTGTCATAAACTTTTCCTCGCCGATCAGCTTCGTCCTGACTAATAATTTCTCCACAATATTCTGAGATGAATTCATTTTTCGCTGCAGATTCCTTGAGGAAGATGCCCCAACCGGCCACATCGGATGGCGCCATCAGAAGGTGCTTGTCTGATTCAAAAAATCTTCAGTAATTAATATGTAAAAAATAGAAGAACATTTCAAAGCTGATTGACTTACGAAGACCTCGCTGAACGCTCACGTTCTTACATGAGATTTTAGTAATATGGAACTGATCCGCGCCGCATGTTTGACACAAATCAGGATCACATTCACGAACCGCCAGGTAACAAGGACATTGTTTTGTATTACACTGAGCTTTACAACGACACCCTGGAAATCGATTTTGGCACTCGCTACTGCACTGACAGAATTTCTCACAGAAGTTCTGCGCCTGAATGCAAGGACAAGAAGTGTCACATGGTCTACCCGGGTGATCGCAGGGTGCGAAATTATGAACGTGGTTTGCACCGGAGTCTTTCTTGAGCTGTATTTTCCTACAGTGCATAGACCAGAGACGATGCTTCTTCTTCTTCTTCCGCGGTGGCGTAAAATCTTTGAGACTTTCAATAGCAGGTATATCGGAAGCCTCCTTCTGTGCAAACTGGTAAACTTCTTGACAAGTCTTTGTGAGCATTATTTGAGCCAGTGCACAAGGATTACCTGGGAAAGCCTTGTGTAAAGCCCTGAATAGACTCTGCTCGGATCCTGTCCAAGAGAACTCGCTTTCTATATTGATACGCCTGTCCAGACCCAACAGTGTAAATGGTGTTTGATGCTCAGGGTGAGCATCGACAGAGTTCTCCGCCATTACTTCTTCGGACGGTCGTGAATCTTGGTTAACATTCTGCTTGAAATCTGTAAAGAATCCTGGTAAAATCTCGGGACTTGAATCCGTCCCTAAACCCATCGTAGATGTGGCTTCTTCAGGGCTCGCTGTTTTAAGAACGACGTCATAGGAGTTTTCACCTTGGCAGCTGCCACCCTGACTGTACTTGTTACTGTCATTACTATCCTCGCTACTAGCTTCGTTTCCAGAATCCATGCTTGCCTGCTTACGAACTTTTCGCGGTCCTCCAGCAACAGCGCCACTTCCGGTACCGCAACCTCCATTTATACTCCCACTCCCAGATATACCACCACCACCACTTCCGTTACCATTTGCAGAGCATCCTCTCTTTTCTTCAGCCATGCCGTTTTCTTCTTCTTTAATATCTGCTGCCTGTGCAGCCAGCTTCTCCTTCATACCTTCCTAAGGGATTGGATAAAATTCATTCTATCTAATACTGTATCGCTCCTTTTAATCCATTATCTAGCATCCTAACCAAATTATTATATCAGTACTCACCAAGTGCATGTAACACTCAGAACCACATGGCTCAGAAAAAGGCTTCAAATCCGGTCCTTTGCGTTTCTGTAAATTCGGCCCAGGATGACAGACTTGCAGACCTATAATAAAGAGTGGTATCTCACTATAGGATGAATACAATGGCTTGGATGAATATTGCGCATCAAGAATCATGAATTGAATGCAAAGAATGAAGAATGCATAATCTAGAGAAATCGATAGTGGATAGAACGATGAACGGCGAATGAAATGCGATTGTGGATGAGGACTCCTTGACGATGCCTCTGTGCTAAACAAAAATAAAGCGTTCGACCAAATGCTCTCTTTTGAATGCAATGTTCTTTACCTTGCGGCGAAGTCCCCCTGGCTGCTACGATAAATCAGGAATGAAAAATTATTCTAATTAATAGGTGTTTCACTTGGGAGGGCTTAGCGAGTTTAATCGCGATTGTCGATTCGGAGTTGCGGCTCGTCTCTGGTACAGTACACACTTTGTTGCTACTTAGGTAAATAATGTATAATTACTATACAGCAACTAGTGGCGAAGGATCAAAATACTTGACTACTGATACCTTGGACGATCGAAACCGCTACGACGAATCACTCACAAGAAATCATTCGATTTTCGTTTACTCACGATGCAGGAAACAGTCGTACTTGAAACACCGTCTACAAAAAAGTGTATGAAAGGAATGCATAGTCTGTTCCCTGGGGACACTCTTTGCGTTCACGCCGTCAATGTTTGGTGTGCATTCAGGAGGAAGAATATTCGGATCAGATCTTTCTGTCAACTCGATATACTTCTCTTTAAGTTCTTCTGGTCTGCCTTTATCAGGGAACATACTGGAAATTGCCTAAAAAATGAGTCATTAATCGTTGGTAATTCTAGATTGAAGTCTGGGTTATGTTGCTTATTAGTTTCAGCGTACATTGAATATTTGAATAGCAGGAAATGGACGACCATCACTTTCTTTCTCATCCTTAGAGTCCTCTTCCATTTTTTCTTGTTTGAGCTCAATCTTGATTGATTCATCCTTTTTCTCTTTGTCATCTTCCTTGGAGCTTTCTTTATCTTTGGACATGTCCCTACCTCTCTTTGGTATTTCTCTTTCTTTATCATCTTTTTCATAATTTGCAAGGGCATTCACAAGATCAACAAATATAGCATCATCCATAAAACCTGACTCCCTGTCACCATGAACCTATTGAATGCATTATATTTTATAAATTGTTTCTGTCCACATTGACTCGTAATCATGTAGCTACATACTTTTCCATCATAGTTCTTTATAAGTTCTTCAATAAATGTACCATCTTGATCTAGAATTTCATCACCCATATAGGGAATATTATGTAAAACAGTTTCATCTTCCACCATGAAGTTCTGCTGTATCGGAGCCCATGTATACATAGTAGGAATAGGAGTCACTGCATTAATTATTTTTACTGGACATGATTGTGTATCACCATCGGAGCTTGTAATTTCTGCTTTCTTCATACAAGAAACATGTGGAGGAATTTCCTGCATTGCCAACCACATTGCTTTTCCATCAGCCCATCTTTTCTGTTCTGCCACCAAAAGTTCTAATCCACACACAATATAATAAGTTATTATCAATATAATATGTTATTATTATTACAATAAATATTATAAAAATTATAAGTACAGGTAAAATGATACTCCATTCCTGGAAATTGTTACTATTCAAGGACACTGACCAGTCATAACCTTGCGATTTTGATTCCAAGCAATTTTCACTTCATCTGCTCGTTTGTACCGCTTCATTTGCCGCAGTCGCATGTATTCTGATTTCACGCGTTTTTTCCATTCTGCGGACACTTTCGCCTTTGACATATTCACGAACTCGTAAATAATGAGATCTTTGTGTAAGAAAATTGATAACAAAGGAAGCTACAGGGAAAATGAATGTGAGCAATAACGTTAGGAACAGTTGGGAATGGCTACAAACGAAAATTAAGGGAAAAAAGGTGAATTGCATTACTCGCCGCAGATATGAGTAGGGAGATGCACAACGCTACAGTTTTAGGCATAGAACTCATACTCCTGGAAGAGGAATGGCGTTGTTAAAAGTGGCATAGAACTTATATTCGTGGAAGGGGAATAGTCTACTCTAGCAATGAATGGAAAATGACCCCAAGTCTTCGTTCGTAACGTTCAGTTCCTCTCACTGCGCACGCGCGCACTACATCATCATAACAATGGCTGCCTCCAATCGAATTCCTCCAGTCTTCATGTAACTCGCTTTTCGCATTAGATTGGTTAGGTTTTGTTAGGTCAGTAAATTGGCGCATTAGCGCAATGAGAAGAACTGAACTTTACAAACGAAGAGATATATCTCTGTTTCAACATGTTTAGGCCACTTTTCACTCATGGCTACAGTAGGCTATTCCCCTTCCAGGAGTTCTATGGTTCTATGCCTAAAATCGTAGCATTGTGCATCTCTCATGTCTGTACTTATGTCCTACTCATCTCTGCCCGTCGGCTTTCCTCTGTTCTTTACTCTGCTTTGCGCTGTCTGACGTTTATAACTTGCGACATCTATATTTTGAACCCCCCACCGTAGTCACTGAGCGTTCAAGTCCAAGTGCTTTTAGTTGCATGCGATGCAATCTTAAACGATATTTTATCATTTTAATATACTCATAATATACACAGCTCTACTAATAAAAATTTCATTAATATAAAAGAAAATTGAATATGTCAATACTAAGACCATTCACCTGTAACGACCTGTTTAGATTCAACAATGTGTGAGTTATTCACTGTTGCATATATATTATTTTTATGATTGATACGAGCATGTTATCTTTTTTTTCTATTCAAACTTCATTGTCAATTTATAACTTTTATATTTTAGGAATCTAGATCCTTTGACGGAGACAGTATCCTTTTATTAAATTTTAATTGTTATGATTAATAATTATTCCTGGTATGTGTTTACGTTGGTGATGTAGTGACATTAGGTTAGAATCTCATTAACCAGAATAAATCACATTTATTTATTTCTACTATTTTCTTTGACAGAGTGATTAGTATGGACTGTCATTTTATATGCAATATTTGGCACACTGGCCGGAGTATTTTCAGGTTGCTGAATCACCAAATGGAGAAATTATGGGTTATAGTACGTCTGTGATTATTATTATCATTATTATTATAAGAAAAAGTATATTGTATATGTTTCTAGTCATGGGTAAGGCGGAAGGTCATGGGGAAAATTGGCATGGTCATGTAACAGCCCTTACCGTATCCAATGATTATCGAAGGCTTGGACTTGCTGCTACGTTGATGAGATACCTGGAAGAAGTCTCGGAGAAGTAAATAAGTTTTTGCTTTGATGCACTGAATATTTTTATAAATTAAACCAACTTCAATTACGGCAATTGTTACTTTACAGGAAACAAGCATATTTTGTAGATCTGTTTGTAAGGGTCAGCAACAAGGTGGCCATTAAAATGTATCAACAATTAGGTTACATTGTATATAGAACGGTTTTAGAATATTACAGTGGAGATCCTGATGAAGATGCTTATGGTACTGTAACCTGATTTTATACACCCATTGCTAAATCTAGAATCTTCATTACAAGTAATAACAATTGCAGATATGCGTAAAGCACTGTCAAGAGACGTAAAGAAAAAATCGGTGATTCCACTGACCCATCCTGTGAGACCAGAGGAGGTGGATTGAATTTTTAAACATGAAAGAAATGAATGTTCTTAAAATTTGAATAACTTGACACACTGCGGTATACACTCCATATCAATCAAGTCCAAGGGTAACAATTAAGATGGAACAACAGTAATGTTAATAAATGATCGACAATTGGAGCAAAGTTTATTTATTCTTTTGTACAATAGTACAACGTTTCGTTTTTACCATACATTGTTCGCATCTCTCATGCGCCGGTTTATGCGAATAAATAATAAATAAAGATCTACAGAAATTAGGCTGAGATGGCGCAGCACAGATTGCCCATTCTTTGTTTGTTTATCATGGCTATTACATTAGTAACCCAATGGTATACCAGCTGCCCATTTTGATCCTAATATACCTAAGAGATCTACGACTACACATGATATTTACAGAATGAATGAATGTTAATGTATTACCATAGAGGCGCCCAGAGGACACTTACGCAATATCATTTTTTAATTATACCTTATAAAAAAATGAAATCAGGGACAAAGTGCCATTTCTCTCTAACGTTTCTCGTTTTGTACTGTTCCCAATAATCTGAGGTTCGAGCTACTCCGACCAAAAAATGACGCACGTTTATAATTATTAATTTGCCGGATACCGATTAATTAGAGGCAAATAAATAGTGAAAAATGAGAAATAGCCACAATGCCATTCAGTTTACCAAGAATAAGAATAGAAGTCTTGTACATATTATACGAAAGCCCTACATTAGTTTTATTTCATTTGTGTTTTACATTGTAAAGGAAGACGTCTGCTAGTAGTACGTAGGACACGTCAATTCAGTACAAAACTTCTACGGTATATATATATTTTTCATCGTCTCTCTTGTTACTCTTTTATGGTATAATCAAATCGGTACATGATACGCTTCGGAAAATCACAAAAGTGCTGTTCTCATTCAATAAAGATCCCCCTCTTTACAACTATTTGGTCGTCCTCTTACATAAAACAAACAATATACTCAGTATAAATAAATATGTAAAATATTCTAAGACTAGCTGCTACCAGCATAATATCAAATCGATAATCGGAGTTAGTCTTTAAATAAAAGAATAGGACGAGACTTTCTTAAAAATTTGTAAATATGGCGTTTGAAATTCTAAATAGAATCAATGAAATCTTCAATTTCGTTTTTCATTTTCGTCCAGACTTGTACGAAGATTTGTGAGTTCGTGCAGGATACAAGTAATGGCGCAATGAAATTGAAATATGTATAAAATGTCCCCGCAAACGTGTACGGCAACGAGATACCTCACAATCATGGCAAATAGGCTTAGCGTTATTAATAAATTAGACTATCGCGGTCGATAGAAAAAAAAACAGTATAAATGGCCACGTGGAAAGTACAAGTAGATTCGAGAATGAGAGAGGAAAAACATACTTGTAACAATACAGCTCGATTGGGTTCGTAACAATATACAAAAGTAATATACAAAATTGTATGTATCCTCTTCTTAAGACATTAGCGTCCATTCCGCATGCGGCTAGTGTAAAATAATAATATTTTGCTCACTCACGTTATGAATTTACACTGTTCCTTTATTTTCTTTCTATACTTTTTTCCTTGTTTTTTTTTTGGCAAGAGTTAGATTCTTCCGAGAAGCATCCCTGGGCTTCACGAACATCGAATCCATATGTCTTCGTCCACGTTACAAATTAAATCTCTAAACATATAGTAGTAGCTACTGTTTGTATGTACACAATATGCAATTCAATGCTGTCGCTAATTGAAAACTCCTGTTCGGAGATTACGTTACCTTACACACGAATTTGGTATATAAATACGGTAGCAAAAGATTTCAGCACATTGCTTAGCTCTCGAACAAAATTATTCGATGTTACCAAATTCACTAATTAGGCAGTGTTTCCAAAATCGTTTTCATATTTCATCCATTTCTTCCCTTAATATGCGCTTGCAATAATATCACCTTCAATGGCTACTGCGTGTCTCTATCGCGCTTTAATCGAGTCGATTATTTCATATATATTACACACACGATTCCTCGATTGCTCATTATCCATGTTTGTTCGTTAATATTAACGTAGAAAATACAACCCCAATTATTCACGTCCATTATCCGTCTGCAATGCCGCAATTTTTTTTTTCGTTGAAATCAGCACAAACGGATTTCCGGCGCTGTCGTCTTCTATCTATTTAGAATACCATAAGTTGTGGTACGTCATCGCGAATGGATATCACTTTAGTGCCATCGTAGAACCATTATTTCTTGACAGTCGTAAACAGATAGTAATAGTAGCAGTAATAGTAGTTAACGTGCTTCTCATCCACTTCAACGATAAATCGCGCAGTCTTTTCAGGGTCTTTGGTGGTCAGGGGTCGATTTCAATATGTCTGGTTGCGTTGGAAGACAGCTTGAACCTGCGCACATATTTCACACAATTCCCACATGTCCCAGATGTCCATTTGCACCAGGATTCTTTATCGTTCACTCACCGGTAGCGGGCCTCAAGTTGGATTTGATGGATCTGTGGGAGCCGTTGCGAGTCAGTGTGTTCATCTGTGGGGTTCCTGGCAATGCGTGACCCAAGGCGTTCATATAATCCGCGATTAATAGAGTTATCTCCAATATCTGTAACAATTGTAGAATTTACTAGTACTGAGAATAACGTTGCAGTATATGGACACTGGGAGAAAGAGAGCAGGATTTTCGAAATTGTAGTTTACCTTAGGTTTGCTCAGGGCAAACAGTAGCTTTTGTTCAGCAGCACCTTCATCCGGACATGCGACGAGCATGAAATCATCTAGACATCCACCGAATGTTACTATGTTGCCGTAATTGTAACGGCATACTACCGCCATTGTTTGTAGGTCTAATAGTGTGACGCTGTCTTCTGACACCGCTATCCACACAGTGACCGGTTCGACCTGCTTTAGCTGTTAAAGAAAATAGTGTAAGATTGTGGGGATTTAAATAATAAAAAAAAATTTTTTTGGCAACGCTGTACGGAAAGTATACAGTTTGTGCACCAAAAAACAAACACAAAATGGTCCATTCTTGATGAGTTCAGAGTGTGCGGAAATCATAGCATTCCCGGATTTGACCCGGAACTGATCGATAGATTCTATCGAGCAGTGCCGAAAGTTCAGTTTTCGGCCCTTGTAGTGTAATATACTATTGATTAATGCTTAGATTCTGGCTCACCTTTGCTTGATACAGGGTAGCACCGAAGAAAGGCCATTTTCTTGTACAAGTTAGATAAATACGAACGCAATCCACGACACTACGTCCTCTCAGGGCTATCCATTTTTCTTGGAGTTTTTCTTGTAGTTCTCTGTAGATAATTAAAAGTATTAAGTAATGAATGAACGATTCGTTATTTCATTGAGTTCACAAACCTTAATTGATCAGCTGTAATGTTTGATCGATATCTAACAGGGTAGAATTTATCCAAGGCTTGCAGTACCAGATGATGTGGATTACTTCCTGGTCCGCTTCCTCGAGTTTTATCATTATTGTACTCTCCAAAATCAATCTGTACCAAATTCAAAGGTTATTTTATTTGTGATATTAGAGGAATAGTGATTTTTAAACGTATGTTTATTATTACTTGAGCCATCAAAGATGCAAGCTCAAAGGCCAGTTCTCGGTTTAGTGGGAACTTTCCCTGTACAACCTGTTGATTCACTTGATAACACAACAACAGACGTTCTCTATCAGTCTCCATTTTAGCAGCTTGTCGCCAGTAGCACCGAGACTTGTACGTTAACTGTATCACCCTAGTATTTTCAAACTTTCCAGATCCCTTTTCTCTTAGTGCAGTTTCCCATTTTGAGATGATATCGCAGAGCTGAAAATTATAGCAATTAGTCTCGATTCATAGAAACAAGATGTTTTTATATAAAATCTACCTTAGCTTGAAGATCGATAAAGTGTTCCAAGTCCTTCTCAATGGGATCATCACTGAACAATGTAAACCCAGACTGGTGAACATCCCTACAGCCAATCTCTTGATTTAGAGTGTTCAAGAATTCCTCAATAGTAGTACTACCATCGAAGCTCACAACCTGATAAGTCCCATTCAGAAAGTGAACCGGTATGGCATGAGGTAGAGAATGATGATATGGGTTCTTCAACAGAATAGATAAAACTTCCATTCTAGATGGTTTAACTTCACGACCACTATTCTGTAATGTTCTCTCGAGAGCTCTCTCGCAGTAGGCTGCATATTTGCCACACTCAGTTCTACAATGTAACAAAGAATGTCATATCGGTCATCGGTCATCGATCACCGTGTCATAATATTAATTGTACAATAATTATTACTCACTTGGAATCAGCATTCCTTTGAAGATGCAGCTTCAGGTACCACAGTAGCCGATTATTTCGCGGTAAGAATAATGACACAGCCAGTGCCAAGAGCTGCCAACCCTGGACGAGTACGTATTGGGCAGGGTTGGTCTTGCAGTCCAATATTGTGGCTGTCGAATGGCCCTGCGTGAGCGGAGGACTGTGAGAAGTGGAGGCCGTCGATTGTGCGTCCGCATTTTCGCCGCTGCCATTTGCCGCGGGACTTTGCGTATCGCAGGTGAAGAGCGATTGCGTGGCGCAGAGGAGGAGCTGCTGCAATGGTATGCTGGCATACTACTACGGCCGTGCAGTGGACCAGACACCTAAGCTACGAATTTCTTAGGTATCTCGCGAAATGGTTATTTTTTCTCTTTACCTCCATTTCGTTCGCCATTTTTAATTTCATAACATGATGCTTGGAATTTCAAGACCTTTGAGACTTAACAATTTTTACCCTATTTCTATTTCGTGTTTAGTTTATTCTGACTGTTCACCGATTCACCAAATCTAGTAGCACCGTGACCTCATTTCATATGATTCTGGATCTAGATCTGCTCTTAATGATTATGCGATTGTTTTATCATCAAAATTGTTAGTATAAGCAACGGTAATTGGAATATCAATGCAAAAATATATATGTTAATCACATAAAACGCATGGATTGACAAATCGATGACTTGAAATGTGGATGAGAAGCGTTCTGGACTATTTATCAGTTATTCATTACTTGCAGCTTGAGTACTCTAAATTTTGTAACATTAATTTGCTTTAATTTCTTTCACTATCACTCAATTTTATTTATAGGCAGCTACAATTTCCAAATTTCAATGATATGACTTTTTTTTCCAATTCGTGTCTATCCAATTTTTCGTATTAAGTGCAGTTCTACCCGATTTCTAGCTTTATCCTTAAATAGTTGCTCATACTGATGACTAAGGTCTAATTCTCTAAGCAGCATTCAAACATAGAATATTGTAATTAACTATTGAAAGATAAACTAAGTAATATAAAAAAAATTAACTGAGTCTATAAAGATGTTTTTCTGTGTGTGATTCTTATGTACACCAACATACCATTCTGCAAGTGTGTGTGCTGCTGAACGTATTGAGATAATTTTGAAAAAACGCATTTCGTCCATTTTTTGTATTATTATAACGGAGGAAAAGCTTTTTATAGGGGAATTGTAACGATTATCAAAATACGTTCGGCTCACGTGAAGGGCGTCAGGGCAGGGTAGTCATGGGATATGATGTATAATATTAAAATACGTAATAAATAAATGAATTGAAGAAAACTTAACTAGATGTATCTAAAAGATCAGATGCATGCGCTTGAGAGTAGTAACTAGAGGGTCAGCACGTCTAAAGCAGCAAATGAAAGTGAAATGTGGATGAATGTTATAACTAAAATCATTGTTAAAACTTCGTCAAGTATTATTGTTAAAATAATAAAATAAATATAAAAAGTCGGACCTGAATATTAATCGGTTAATTCATCTGTTATTGATTAAAAAGAGAACCAAACCAAAGGACACTAAAGACAAATAAAATGCACGTACTAGAGCTGCGCCGCATTCTGAATTTATTTTCCTATTGGATTAGATTTAATACTTGACCAAGCGTTTCCACTGTACCATTTTTTTTCTTTAGTCTTTTTAAAAGAAAAATGCAAATATAAAATTGTCCTACGAACAAAATCAAGATACGTTGTCTCCCTTGAACGATCCTTATTTCTTTTCCCTTTATTTCAAATTTCTCGTGTATCGTATGAATTCTTAAAATGGTACAGTGATAATCGAGTGTTTGTTAAACAATAAGCAGGACTTACAACGCGCGCAGTACCCAGCGACACAAGTCTGGCGGCCTTTTTTACCTGTACGCCCAAACGCTGCTGAGTGTGACGACTAGTCTGCTTTACCAGAGCACAAATGAATTCAGACTGAAGTTCCGGTTGATCTAAACACTGTTGAAGTGCATTCTGGGCAAGGACCACGTGATAATCTATACCAGCCTGTTCCACGGCAACAGACATGAACAACTGACAGGCCTATTAAACGAAAAAAAAAAGATGTTAAATACATACCACAAAGACTCATTAATGAAAAAGAACAGGTCAATCTAAATTGACCTATGACATATCTTTACCTTAAACAGTTTTATCGCCTCGGTTTGCAAAGCTTCAGAGGTAAGGCTAGTTAAAGGACTTGTTATATTTTCCTTGGTATGCAATAACAAAGGATGTCTCCATAATACACAGCTTGGGTCTCCGTCAGTTTCCATCAGCCTCTGTACCAGCTGCTCGTACTGAGTCCCCGCACTGGGTCCACCGCCGGACACCACAGTTAAATGATACAGCCAATTATCTTTATCTTGTTTGTAAGGCATTAGGAGATACGTGGGACCCTGATGAGTTGGAAAAATTCCAATTGTTCTCTCGTGTGGACACTCTGCGTCACGTTCTTCACTATCGCTGTCCGATACGTGTTCTACTTCTTCTACCCTTGCGTCCCTCATATTTATTTGACCAATAGGATTCTGATCGATAGAATTAAATAATGCAATGTAGGTTTTTTCCAGGCAGTTAATAAATATAAGAATGTCTTAGACTCTAGGATTTACCGTATCGCTGGGACACTTGAAGTAAAGGAACATTTTGCCGATGAGGACGCACCAGCACTTTTTCGCGTGACCATTCTTCACTTTCGTTAACCAACCCTGTATCGTTGGCTTATTATCCTCCTTGCTTAGGAGAAGCTTCGTCGCGTTACGTCTCTGTACGTTTTGCAGAACTCTGATCCAATCCTCCATAGTCGCTATGCAATCCGCAGTCAGGTAATATGTCTTTTTACCTGTAGCAATTTCGAAAGTGGCTGCGCCCTCTGCTCGGTTTATCCTGTTTCGATAAATTTGTATTTTTAGAACTGTATTATTGTACTAAAAAAATGCAAATCTAAGATCTCTGCTAACCTGCAGACTTCGTCTAAGAGTATTTGTCCCTGAGGTTTACGATTAATGTCGTTCTGACTCTTCCAATATGTCAGAACACCGTTCTTCAAAACAAACCATCGCTTCCGCCATGTTTTTAATTTTCCACCGAGCTTTGCAAGGTGTCCAGTCTTCTCAAGAGATTCCAGCCTCTTAGGACTCTCACCGGAAACGCGCATCAGTAAACTTGGCATACTGGACTCCAGGGAGGTAGAGCTCAGAGCATCTGGTGGTATCGCGTAATCCTCTGACAGGCCAGACTCCAGAGAGGTATCTAAAAGTGGAATGCGCTTAAAGTCGTTGAGAGTTCCTTATGATTTCAACACCATTGTATTCAATAATTATTTTATCCACAAAAACCTACTGTTTATTTATCTTCAGAACTCACCACGTTTTACGCTCTTGCTTGGAGAACCGCTGGAGCTTCTTTTAGCAGGACTGAGACTGCTAGTGGTCTTGACACTTTTCGAAGGACTACTACCACTACCTAGAGAAGAGTCTGTGTTGTCTGAGGAACTGTTTGTGATCCTGGTATTGGTCTCTGTCTGGTTGGGGTGCTCCTCCCCGTCGGAACTGTCATCCGAACTGTCTCCAAAAGGCATGGACCTTATTTGACTAGCACGCCCTTTGACCGTGGCATAAACTGGCACTGATATGTCACAATATCCCTGGGAGTTATGTGCAGTCAAATTATGCCCCGTTGCGTGGGAATGTTTAGAGGAGCTTGTTGTGTTTGTCGTAGTCGAGGGTGCAGATTCTTCATTGGTTCGTGGACCTATGCCAAGACCACCATCTGCCACCTGATGAATGGAAGATCGATTTGAAACTCGCGATACAATAATTCCCTATTGAAGGTATCAGGAAGTATTGAATATAGAATACATACCTGATAGATCTTGGCTTCCCAACTAGGAAATCTATGTAAAGGTGGAGTAGGTGGTCGTGGACCCTGTCCTCCAGCTTGGGTCCAGTTGATACCTTCTCTACTGGGTGTGTAGATCTCTGCATAGTCATGAACAGCTTCAGAACTTCCACTGTCTCTACTGGTCTCAGCGACACCCGGTATGCTTGGTAGCATAACGAGATTCTCCACTGCCGCAGCCAGTTCCTCGGACAAGAGACTGGAAGAAGGTAATAAAGAGTTTAAAATCGAATCCTCCGTTACAAGGAGAGAACGTGATTCCGATGCTGAAACATGAATGGATCGTAATGTATCACTATTCACATTCTTTATAACGATAACGCAGATTTCAGCATCGTTGTAGCTCGTTAACATCAGTTCAGAAAAAGTACAACAGGTCGACAGATCCCCGCAGGAAGTCCCAGGACGTTACAGGGTACCACATATTGTAAAATCGGGCGCCGCTATCACGTCGTGAGGCCTCCCAAGGAGAATTTTAGTACAATTCCACGCGAACAAAGAAAAGTGAATAAGCCAAGTCCACATGCACAAGTCTCTAAGTGAGAGATGATACAAGTTTTTAAACCATTATGAAATAAGTTCAAATCCTACCTGGAATCCATATTGGTAGCAGGGATTCCTTGCTGAATAGTTCCACAAGCAGACAGATGTCTCCTGTGCCTGGTACCGATCTGTGGCTCAGCGGCAGAACTCTGAACGTTCTCTGGTACGGTCTGCGGGGTCGCTTCGAGACTCTCGGACCTTCTACGAACTGTAGGATCTACTTCAAGCGACAAGGATGCTCTCGTTGGAGCCTGAAAGAACAATTTTAAGATAATCGTTAACAAGAATTATATCCCACGAGATTCATCTCCATGGTACTTACAGGTGTTCTCAGTCCAATATTGGTAATGTGATTACGCAACAACTCCAGTTGCTGATTGCACTTGTTATTCTGTTCGCGCAAGTGCTGATTCTGTTGTTCCAGTTCACGCAACTTGTTCGTCACCCACTCCTTGATCCTAGCGGCTTTGGCCTCAACCTGCCTTGCGTCCTGAAGTCTCAGCTGTCTCTGCAAAGAATAAATAAAAATTAACAAGTTTCCTCATCTTATCAACAAACTCGTCATGCACTACTCGATAATGATAAGGAGCCTGACAAAGACTTCTATAAAGAATGATTCCAACGCGTGAGACGTCATCACGCAGTCTGTCGTATCTTGACAACAATCCTCAAGGTATGCAGTGCTCTGATAACAGGAAGTATGACGCTATTTTACTCCGATCATCAAAATTGTCCTTACCTGCTCCTCTACCTGGGTCTCTAATTTCGAGATGCAGGCACAGTGAACGTCCTCGATTTTGTCATTCTGCACACCGGAAGTGGATGGTAACGAGTGTGGCGGAGAACCGACACCGGAAGTGCTCAAGCAATATTCACCCTTCACAAGCCGCTCCTCCATCATCCGTACCTGAATTCATCAATTACACAATTTCAATGAAAAACTTATATACTTAGAAAATTTCAATTGCAAATCCAAGTTCACTCGTCAATTATCGCGTATCGTATAAACAGTCACGAAAACAATGTTCTCATCAGCACCCAATAATCACGTTTAAAATTCAACCACAATTTTACCACCGCAAGGCGATAACGTTTACCATGGACAACCGGCGTTACATAAAAATAAACCCATCGACGGCAACAGGACGCAATGTTACGCTGCGTGCAATGCGTGCACCCTTTTCAATATAGGGTGTTCGAAGCAGCTGTCAAAAATCGATATCCCTTACGCGTACCCGGACTCTACGTACAACGGGGTGCACGTTGGCAAAGGGCTATCGAGAAAATCAATACAATACAGAGACAAGCACAGAAGGAGCAGAAGAAATATGCTGGCCAACTTTTTTTTGTGTCCACCCCTAACACAAAATAGAATGGCACGTGTTACCACCATAGCCAGCCAGTACCAATGAAGACACAACGGATGAAAGAGAACCGAGAACAATATATTCTTTTAATAAAGAAAGAAAAAACTGCTCGTTTCAGTAGCAAAATAAATGCGTTAGCATTCAAAGGAACACAAGGGATGTACAATAAGTACGTATCTTACCGGAGTGTCGATTGGCCATTATGGCTCGTTTAATCTCAAACCACGCAATATACGTTTGAATTTCTTTTTTTCCCCTCTATTTTCGAACTAAATAATACTCCGACTTTCACCAAGACAAAGAGAAGAACTTAAAGCGTACTCGGTGCTGTGCGAGATCGAACTAAAGCCCGTCGGGGCTTTCCTAGAGTGGGTGAGTCACGTTGGCTCACAGCCAGTCAGAAAGGGAGACAGTTTAGGGGAGTTTATACATGCGAGTCTATCCTTCTCTCTCTCTCTCTCTCTCTCTCTCTCTCTCTCTCTCTCTCTCTCTCTCTCTCTCTCTCTCTCTCTCTCTCTCTCTTATAGCGTATTCCCGCACGTGCATACGTATCCTGATATACAGTGTGATCCGTAAACACTGTACAAACTAGGGTAACTGTGAGGTGGACAGTGGAACAGAACGTACCAGTGTATCATTTTGCAGAGATATTGAGATATTGAGATATTGAGAGAGAGAGAGAGCGAGAGAGAGAGAGAGAGAGAGAGAGAGAGAGAGAGAGAGAGAGAGAGAGAGAGAAATGGCTGCAATTCTCGAGAAGGATTTGCAAAGGACTTATAGAGGGTTATGCTACTTCACCCTTTGAAGGTGGAAAATGAAGGTACTTTGTACCCCCGTGAGCTTTATTTGAACTTGCGAAATGAAAGTCTATGGTCCTCTCCTCTACCATTGCGGTAGGACTGGAAGTTCTTGGATGTACTCATGTCGTTGGAAATATATTCTTACCGCACGTGCAGACATCTCGGCTCTTTGGATAAAACATTGAATCACGTTGGCTACCGGCCAAAAGGTTAGTAACGTGTCTCCTTTGCGCTTACCAACAGAAATATCCATTCACGTACAGTGTATAACAAAAATGTATGAAATTCAAGAAAGTACCGAAAATCAGTTACTCATTGGATTCCACGAAGGGAAATTTAATATTCATTATGTTATTTTTGGTTTTGTAATCCGATATATGTATATATGTATATTTGCACCGTTTATTGTATGTTTTCGTTATATGATTTTATGAATCACAGCGGATCAATATTCGGACAACAAAAGCTTCATGATTGAATGTACACGTGTGAGTAACAGTCGCACAAAGGATAGTGTCTTTCCTTTTCTTTTTCTCTTTCTTCGCTCTATGTACGGGGTTTCTACATGGGACGTATGGATTACTCACGAAATTGTCGCTGTGCCAATTTCATATACGACACGAACCATCAAAATCTAGCATAAAATCCCTGTCGCAGGTCGTAAAATAATTCAAAGACGATATTCTCCATTAACAGGGTAGACGAACGTTCGAGAAATCAGGATGAACACCTTGACGGAAATGAGCAGACAGGATATCGTACCAATAGACAATGGAATGTGTCTGAATAATCAGTACAGCTATATGTATATACAATAGCTGTAGAAAATAATTCTTGGGAATTGTATAGGAATCGGTAGGTCGGTCGAAGCCCATAGACAGATAATTAAATACCAACGGTGTGTGAAACGAAGACGCTAAAATCTTTTAGATGCCATTTAAGGGTGAATGATAATCTGACGAGGTCAAATCGTCATGAACAAATGAGATCGTTCACGAAAAATCTATTTACGAATGTTAAAAGCTGGGTCTATACGAGCAACATTAAGTATTTATATCTGTTGGTAGAGTGTCGATAAAAATGATAATGACATTTTTTTTATTAAGTAAAATCGAAGGGATTAAAATGGGATATCAATATTGATACGTTATCGAAGATTAATTGTTTTTTTATTGTAGCTTCTCTTTACCTTTCATGTCACATGCCGAGATCCATTATTTCACGTGTGATCTACCTTACGATTCGCCATGGTTGTCGGTCGGCACAGAGATTGTTGACGCGATTACGATGGCGCGACGAAACGGGGAACAACGGACACAGGATACGCGCTGCGTGTTTAACGTTAAAATTCACGAAATCGGTGGTCATAACAAAATAGCGGTGCCGGGGTGCTGGTCTGCCATCTTGGTCGTAGGACACAAAAATCAATGCGGGGGATGCAGTAACATGCGCGCTACACACGTGTAAGGCTTGGAGTGCCCCAGTGAGTACGGCACCCAATCAAGATACGCCCCTGGTGGTTCGGAGCTCTGCTAATTCGATGATTGTGTCTAGTCGGTAAAAATGTCATGGACATGGAAGAGCACGATATCCCTCGGGAATTTTGAGGACAAGGGTCGCGACATTCACCCTTGTCAAATTACACGGACTGACAGTACTGGGTGAACCCCCCTTTTCTCGTCCTAAACTTTGGAATTGGGTCTCCTCGTCTGTGATCTCAAATATTCAACATCAAATATGCGTCTATGGAGGATGATCAATTTAATACAATAGTTATCCGAGCAGCAAAAATTCTGTCGTTCGATTCAACTCTCGTGACAAGTATGAAATGGATAACCACCTATAAGACTAAAGTCCAACTGTGGAAAAAGTGTACTGTGCGTCGGTAAAAGGAAAATTGAAGGTAAAGCTTGTACCGTCGGGAAGTTTGCGCGGGAAAATGAAAATCAATAAAAATTTATCCACTATTTTTCATTAAATGATTAATAAAATTTTATTTTCCAGATTACCACCTTCTTCTGTCACTTCTACACGATATGAATAAGAATCCAACAAAAAATCATAAAAGACATGAAGCATATAAAAAAAATTCCTAGTTACCAACCCTAGAGTACGTATCACCTCAGTGAGAATAGGTAAGACAGTTTCAGGGGTAGCAGGAAATATCGACCGTACTAGTGCAGCAGTCGGTAACTCGAGACAGAACGATAGGAACACCCGATACGTATCAGTAAACGGAAGACAGTGCAAACCTCATAGATCTGAGCATTCATGTCATTCCCCTATAATTTAAAACAGTTATCTCATTTCTCTTCCGCATTGACATCACGTCCAAGAGAGTCGATTAGTCGATGAGCGATAAAGCTGTCAAGCTAATAACTAACCAGATGGTACAAAGAAGTTGGTTAAAGGGAGTGCTTGAATTCGGTCAAGTACGTAAATAATTGACCAGGGTGAGGGTAACGAGCGATGACCGATCGACTGTCAAGGAAATTATATTATTAGAACCAAAGGTAATTTTCAGGCGGGACATAAATTATCTTAAAATATCAGAATACTACCAAAAACTTTAAGTTCTGTAAATCGAGTTACTCGAACGTTCCGTCGTCAATTTAATAATTAAAAATAATAACTAAAATATAAAGTCTCAAACTAATTTAGTTAATTACTTGTCCTTGGCTTACCTTGTCCTCCGCTTCGTCGGCTCTGCCTTCCGCTTCGAGAACCCGTTGCTCGAGCTCCGAGAGCTGAAATTCAAAAGAAACAAATTCGTATGAAAATACACGCTAAGAAGGTAATAACGAAGAGACGAATGAAAATTCAACAGGCGTTTTACAAATTTTCTTCGAAACTACGTATATATTCCAAGCGCGAAACTCGAGGAACAAAAATCTATCGCAAAGTTCGCACGAATATTCGTTCGCGTAAAATCGACGGACTAACGAGAGTTTAATGGATAGGGGCGACTTAAGCAGGTTCTAAGCCCGGCTTAATCCAGCCCAGATTGATATATGCCCTGACGCGTATCCCGTATGATCCTGGCTGAACCATATAGCCACAAGGGGATAAGCGTTATAGAAGAGAGAGAGACATAGATAGAGGAAGGGAGGCAGGGGGTTACCTACTTGGTCGTCAGAGAGTCTCACCTATGTACGCACGTGTCTCGTTATATTTGATAGCATACAGATATATGTCCTTTGACATATATACATGTCAGAGGACATATATACATATATGCATATATGATGGGAGAGACCAGTGCGTAGAGCCCATGGTAACGCATACGCAGATGTTAACACTCTCCTGCACACAGTCGTAAATACGAACACGCTGGATCGCTCTCGACACTATATACTGGGTGATTAATTAAAACGGAGGTTAATCTACGGGTCGAGGCTTGGGTTTAAGTGCAATTTATGCTGCCCGGGGTTAACCACGAAATATAATTACTCGACAGGGCGGACTGCTCTCGGTATTAAGGGTTAGAGAGTTCGAGCGGATGACACCGAGCTGCCCTGAAAATATTAGCCGATCGAGGGCTTCTTTATTTTTGTATAATTAGCGAGGCGAAGGGGCTAGCAGTTACGCCGAGCGTAACGAACGAGTGTGGTCAATTGTCAATATACATTAGAGTACCTTCGGAGGGTTTATTCGGCGGTGTAACCAAAAGCTGTTGTAGGCTTGAGAAAACTACCCCCATGGATAACATCCCTCGCGAGCCTCTCTGCTCTGACCGTATCGTCCCTCAGCTTGTAGGATCTTGGTAAGGGTGCAGTTAGTAGCATCTGGCGTTGAGAGCAAACGCAGAAATGTCTTTCCTAATGCAAGGGTGGAATCTTCGCGCTGGTGGTCGCACGCCTATTTCAACCCCCCTTGGATGGTCGAGGGTAGAGACTGAAGTGGCGGAGGAAGCTGAGTATAAGAGAAGTGATGGGGAGGGGGGGGGAAGATGCTGGAGAACTCCTTCTGGTTACATTAGCCACAGGGGGGTGGCTCGGTGGATCTCTCAAACTGTCGTCAGGCCTTAAGTTTTTGCATCGCTTTACGAGAGGGTAGACATTCATATCGAGTAGCCATGACGGGAGGGGCCGCTATGCAGTCTACCTCCGAGACATACCACCCCCGTGAACGAAAGCACCCTCAATTTTCGGCACTGATCTTCCTCTCGAAATTACGACCGTTTTCTATCATCTAAGGGATGGTTTATACCTACGGGAGTTACGTGTCCTGAAGTTTTCTTGGTTTTTGGGAGATTTTTACTGATATCTGTATGTTTTATGTGGGTTCGTACTTACAGGGTTATTCGTGGCAAACGTACCGTCTGAAAAAGCTGGTCTGTCCGTTTGATCTGGTAGAATCATGTTCGGGGGTAAGTTTGCTTTGAATAACCCTATATATGTATATTATATGTGTAGATATATGTGTTTTTATACATATGTCCACGCGAACTTCGCATCCCGACAAACCCGAGGGGTGAAATAATATCGTATTGGGACAAAGAAAAATCAAAGCTACCCTTCAACGAGCAACGACGGAACAAGAACCCGATTATGGCTCCCTTGAAATAATATAATACTCCTCCCTCCCGTTCACCCCTTGCAGACTGGAAAAGGTACACGCACCACCGGTTGCTGCAGCGTTATTGGCCTTTGGCGTGATTCCGAACATAACGCATTGTGCTTCTCGACAGACCGAGTAAATTTCCAGAGATGGGACGTGGCTAAGGGTCTGGCGCCCTTAATAATCATCCCTCCGCACCTTGTATATCCTTGGTATTATTTTTCCTTTCTTTCAATCTCGCTGCCGTCTGCCATTGTGTCGGAAAATTATTAGGGACTCATCGTGAAAACGGTTGTTTCCGAAAATACGTTTATTAGTTTCGACTTAATTAACCCAGCAAATAAATTGTGTGCCAGCGCTTGGATTTTCACCGTTCAGTAAAAATTCCATAAAACTCATGAATCGTCCCGTCGAGTCTTTTCGCAAACCTTCGCGAAATTCGTGCGAGCAAATTTGTACGAGCTCGTGCCTTCGGGCAAATCGCAAAACTAGTTTCCATCCAATTTTCCCTTTTGCAGAACTCAAACTCAATTTCCCACGCGGAAATATCTCTGTCAACCTTTACGTAATACCGGGACGGCAGGGAAAAGGCGTCGACGTAACCAGGATGAAACCTTGCAGGCTCGATGGGTACCACGCGGATTCCTTGGATGAATTTTACGTGTGCATTCAGGCCCGCGCAATTTTACCATTACCATTCTGCGTAGGCATGGGCTTGTGCGAGGCACGTGCAGATTTATTTACATACGTGCTTACATGGCTGAGCCATTAGCGCCTCGTGGCTTTCGGTTAACCCCAATGGCTCAGACCAAGTCTAAAACGTACGAGTGCATTTGGACGACCCTTGAGCCGAAATCCCTCAGACCCAGGATCACCCTCCAGGGCCTTGTATATTAATTATTCGTGGCCGAAAGGACCCGCCTAGCATTTACTCCTGGGACCTGCCAAATGACACGGAAGGGGATCCGCCCGTTTACCAACTGCCCAGGATTTCTTGCCGGAAGTTTCTCCGTCCTACGGGCGACTTCCTTTTCCCATTTCTCTCCTACCTCCGCTGGAGCACCGTATAGCTACGGTCGCTACGTGTATATACGTCCACTTTCCGTCTGCCGGAGTTTTATTCTCTCTGGTAATTTCTGACCTTACGTAGGACAGTCCCCTGGTATATCCTGGTCCTATACTGACTACTTAGGAAGGTGCTTCCTGGTGATCGATTATAGAGCCAAGGACTGCTGTCCGGAGGTCCTTCTTGTACTACGAGAAATGACTACCCTCTGTCATTTGCCATTTCGTTAAAGAAGAGTGACGCTTTACCCCTTCGCCCTGATGTGATTATTGTCGCTAATTACGGGTGCGCCCTTTGATATCCTACCGAAGTCAGGAAGTGGTTCTTGGTGATCATTTTGTGGGAAATTCTTTGGGAACTGGAGGGAACCTCTGACCTGATAGGTAGGGTGGAAGGGATGCTTTCGGGGGTTACTTGATTTAAGGGATTAATCTTTCTTTTTCCACTGTTTCGCCTAACGTCCTTATACCGGAAACGGTGAGAACAATCGAGTCAAACAAGAAAGTCGGGACAGCTTGTCGCCGTTCCAATTTCTACTACAAGTTGCGGGACACTTTTTCTCTGAGAAAGTCCCATACGATCGAACCAATACTACCCCGAAATTACCCACTTTTCGCGACCCTCGATATTTTTCAGCAAGAGAAACAAACTTCATTCTCCTTTTCCCTTCGATATCGAGACACATATTGAAGAACTCATATATTATATATATATGTATAACATATGAACTGTTTTGAAAAGAAAGGAAAAAAAACCAAGGAAAAAAGTAAGCTCCTGATTTCCATACATTGAGCTTCGTATATACATATATCTCATGAGAACGAACTACGAAAAAAAAAAGTCAAACGTACGTCCAGAGAGCGTCAAAAGCTGAACACCAATAATACGAATAAGACGAGAGGATAAGAATTCGAAAGAGGGGTAAATAAAGTCTCCAGCCATAGGTAAGCGACGAGCGATTTACGAAAAAGGAGCGAAGGGTCCAACAGCAGTGAAAAATGTAAATCACGAAAATCCCACAAGACCATCATCTCAGAGCCCTAAAGGTACAGAATAAACGTACAAGAGAGAGGAAGATAAAAAGTAGAAAAACATTACCTAAAAAATATCTCGTTACCCAATCATTGAGTCGTAAATAAAATTCCCATAAAAAAAAACAGAGTCGCCTGTCACCTAACCTCAAAAAATTGAGAAAAAAATTGTATATGACACAACGATCACGACGATTCCGTAGGCAACGCCGTTATTATTATCGTCGTCATTATATGGGAGCTCGTTCTCGGTCGAGTGGCTACGTGTCCAATTCCCCACGCAATTCCGTGCAGTACGATACACCGCTCTATAACCTCTACGTATATATCCCGGTCATATTGAAACGTTGACCATACGCAACGATGGATTGCAGACAATAAGGCATATATATCTATTTCCATAAAATATCGTCAATACGTTGAAGCACAGTGCGCAAAACAGAAACACATATTTTTCCCAGTATTCGAAATAAGACGCGACGAAAAACAAGCAGGGAGAAATCGAACGAAGAGGTTAGTAACGTCGCGACGAATGCCGGGTAATCTCCGAAATAAGATCGTCCTCGAGAAAAATCGTAACTTTCCCAGCTAGAGGTTAAGTCCCTTGACTATATGCGTGAGATTGCATTAACCTTGAGAATTCATGAGGGACTTTGGAGTACTTGAAATTGGTTAGGATCGTGTCGTTCTCATGAATCTTTAGCTCATGTCGTCCGGGTTAACTCTCTATCCGCTAACGTGCACCTAAAGTTAAACGTATGGGATAGACTGGATGGTACGTTACAGCTAGAGACTGAATACATAGAGAATGGCATATAGTGTCTAGTGTTATAACCTCGATCGGTTTCAGTGCACTGCTTGCTAGACGAAGTTTTAGGGTGAGGTTAGGTTAGAGTACCGAGACGTAGTGATACTCGCAACGGTCCCTCGTGCAAAGCACAGCACACTGATGGGATATAAGAGCAAGAGGATGCAGAACGGGGATGAGAATTATGCAGATTCGCTTAAGAGAAAAGAGAAGTGAAATGGAGAGGATAAACCAGAGAGAGTGAAAGAGTGTGTGTGTGTGTGTGTGTGTGTGTGTGTGAGA